TTGGGGAGATTCTAACCCTGTTTTTCTGGGGTGATTTTGGGTTAATTTTAAGATAATTTTGGGTTAATTTGGGGAGATTCTAACCCTGTTTTTCTGGGGTGATTTTGGGTTAATTTTAGGATAATTTTGGGGCTATTTTAGGATGATTTTGGGGAGATCCTAAGCCTGTTTTACTGAGGTGATTTTGGGTTAATTCTGAGGTGATTTGGGGATAATTTTAGGATAATTTTGGGGTATTTTGTGAGGATCTGACCCTGTTTTTCGGAGGTGATTTTGGGTCAATTTTAGGATAATTTTGGGGTAATTTTAGGATAATTTTGGGGTATTTTGGGGGGGTCTGACCCTGTTTTTCGGAGGTGATTTTGGGTTAATTCTGAGGTGATTTTGGGTGAACTTCAGGATAATTTTGGGATAATTTTGGGTTGTTTTTTGAGGGTCTGACCCTGTGTTTCTGAGGTGCTTTTGGGTTATTTCTGGGGTTAATTTTGGGGTGATTTTGGGTTAATTTTGGGGTGATTTTGGGTTAATTTTGGAGTCATTTTGGGTTAATTTTGGGGTGATTTTGGGGGGGGTCTGACCCTGTTTTTCAGAGGTGATTTTGGGTTAATTTTAAGATAATTTTGGGGTAATTTTGGGGTATTTTTGGGGGGTCTGACCTGTGTTTCTGAGGTGATTTTGGGTTAATTTTGGGGTGATTTTGGGTTAATTTTGGGATAATTTTGGGGTGATTTTGGGTTAATTCTGGGGTGATTTTGGGGGTGGGTTTTGGGGGAGTCTGACCCTTTTTTCTGAGGTGATTTTGGGTTAATTTTGGGGTGATTTTGGGGGGGGTCTGACCCTGTTTTTCTGAGGTGACTTTGGGTTAATTATAGGATAATTTTGGGGTAATTTTGGGTTAATTTTGGGGTGATTTTGGGGTTAATTTTGGGGTGATTTTGGGTTAATTTGGGGGTGATTTTGGGGGGGTCTGACCCTGTTTTTCTGAGGTGATTTTGGGTTAATTTTGGGGTGATTTTGGGTTATTTCTGGGGTTAATTTTGGGGCAATTTTGGGGTGATTTTGGGTTAATTTTGGGGTGATTTTGGGTTAATTTTGGGGTGATTTTGGGGTTAATTTTGGGTTAATTCTGGGGTTAATTTTGGGTTAATTCTGGGGTTAATTGTGGGGGCGATTTTGGGGTTAATTTTGGGGCGATTTTGGGTTAATTTGGGGTTAATTTTGGGGGATTTTGGGGCTGTCCTGACCCCACTGTTTCCCCCTCCCCGTTTCAGTGCCGGCGCCGCTGGTGAACAGCGGGGGCGTGGTGAAGATCGTGGTGCGCCAGGGCCCCGCCCCACAGCCCCCCGCCCCCTCCCCCCTGGCCCCCGCCCCCCTCCCCTCAGCCCCGCCCCCCTCTGCTGCGGGTGCTGCCCGCCGCCCCCTCCCCCACCCCCCCAGAGCCCCGCCCCCACCCCCCCGGGACCCCCCATGGGCGGAGCCAGCGCGGCGGAGCCAGGTGAGAGCAAAGCCCCCAAAAAGTCCCAAAATGGACCCCAAAAATGCCCCAAAAAATTCCTGAAACAGCCTCAAAAATTCCACAATGGCCCCAAAAAAATGCCCCCAAAAATTCCTGAAACGGCCCCAAAAAATGCCCCAAAAAATTCCCAAAAAATTCCTGAAACGGCCCCAAAAAATTCCTGAAATGGCCCCAAAAAAATTCCCAAAACGGCCCCAAAAATGCCCCAGAAAATTCCTGAAACGACCCCAAAAAATGCCCCAAAAATTTCTGAAATGGCCTCAAAAAATTCCAAAATGGCCTCAAAAATGCCCCCAAAAAAATTCATGAAACGGCCCCAAAAAATGCCCCAAAAAATTCCCAAAATGGCCCCGAAAAATGCCCCAAAGATTCCTGAAATGGCCCCAAAAAATTCCCCAAAAATTCCCAAAATAGCCTCAAAAAATTCCCCAAAAAATTCCCCAGAAATTTCTCAAAATGGCCTCAAAAATTCCCAAAAAAATCCCCCAAAAAATTCCCAAAGTGGCCCCAAAAATTCCCAAAAAAAATCCCCCAAAAAATTCCCAAAAAATTTCCCAAAATGGCCTCAAAAAATTCCCAAAAAATTCTCAAAAAAATTCCCCAGAAATTTCCCAAAATGGCCTCAAAAATTCCCAAAGAAATCCCCCAAAAAATTTCCAAAAATTCCCAAAATGGCCTCCAAAATTCCCAAAAAATTCCCCAAAAAATTCCCCAAAATTCCCAAAATGGCCTCAAAAAATTCCCCAAAAAATTCCCCAGAAATTTCCCAAAATGGCCTCAAAAAATCCCAAAAAATTCCCAAAAAATTCCCCAGAAATTTCCCAAAAATTCCCCAAAAATTCCCCAGAAAATTCTCAAAATGGCCTCAAAAATTCCCAAAAAAATCCCCCAAAAATTCCCAAAATGGCCTCCAAAAATTCCCAAAAAAATCCCCCAAAAAATTCCCAAAAATTCCCAAAAAGGCCTCCAAAAATTCCCAAAAAAATCCCCCAAAAAATTCCCAAAAAATTTCCCAAAACGGCCTCAAAAATCCCAAAAAATTCCCCAAAAAATTCCCAGAAATTTCCCAAAAATTCCCCAAAAATTCCCCAGAAATTTCCCAAAATGGCCTCAAAAATTCCCAAAGAAATCCCCCAAAAATTTCCAAAAATTTCCCAAAATGGCCTCCAAAATTCCCAAAAAATTCCCAAATGGCCTCAAAAAATCCCAAAAAATTCCAAAAAATTCCCCAAAAAATCCCCCAAAAAATTCCCAAAGTGGCCTCAAAAAATCCCAAAAAATTCCCCAGAAATTTCCCAAAATGGCCTCAAAAAATTCCTCAAAAATTCCCCAGAAATTTCCCTAAAAATTCCCAAAAAATTCCCAAAATGGCCTCAAAAAATCCCCCCCAAATTCCCAGAAATTTTCCAAAAATTCCAAAAATGGCCTCCTAAAATTCCCAAAAAATTCCCCCAAAAAATTCCCCAGAAATTTCCCAAAAATTCCCCAAAAAAATTCCAAAATGGCCTCCAAAATTCCCAAAAAATCCCCAAAAAATTCCCCAAAATTCCCAAAATGGCCTCAAAAAATTCCCAAAAAATTCCCCCAAAAATTCCCCAGAAATTTCCCAAAATGGCCTCAAAAAATCCCCCCAAAATTCCCCAGAAATTTCCCAAAAATTCCCAAAAATGGCCTCCAAAAATTCCCAAAAAATTCCCCAAAAAATTCCCCAGAAATTTCCAAAAAATTCCCCAAAAATTCCCCAGAAATTTCCCAAAATGGCCTCAAAAATTCCCAAAAAAATCCCCCAAAAAATTTCCAAAAAAATTCCCAAAGTGGCCCCAAAAATTCCCAAAAAATTCCCCAAAAATTCCCCAGAAATTTTCCAAAAATTCCCCAGAAATTTCCCAAAATGGCCTCAAAAAACCCCCAAAAAATTCCGAAAAAATTCCCCAGAAATTTCCCAAAAACTCCCAAATAGCCTCAAAAAATTGCCAAAAAATTCCCCAAAAATGCCCAAAATGGCCAAAAAATTCCCAAAAAATTCCCAAAATGGCCCCAAAAAATTCCCTGAAATGGTCCCCAAAAATCCCCCAAGTTTCCCCACCCCTGAGCTCCTAAAATTTCCCCAAATTTCTCCAAATTCCCCCCAAATTCCCCAAAATTTGCTTTGAATTTGCACAAATTTGCCCAAAATCCCCAAATTTCCTCTCCCCCACCCCAAAATTCTCCAAATTTCCCCCAAAATTTTTCCCAAAATGTTCCCAAAATTTTCCAAATTTCCTCCTAAATGTCCACAAATTTTCGCCAAAAATTTGCTCTGAATTTCCCAAATTTGCCCAAAATCCCCAAAATTTTTCCCCCTAAATTCCCAAAAATTTCCCCTGAATTTCCCCCAAATTTCCCCTCCCCCACCCCCAAAATTCTTAAAATTTCCCCAAAATTTTTCCCAAATTTCCTCCCAAAATTTCCCTAAATTTGCCCCAAATTTCCCCTCCCCCACCCCAAAATTCCCAAATTTGCCCCAAATCCCCCAAATTTTCCCCAATTTCCCCTCCCCCACCCCCAAAATTCTCAAATTTCCCAAATTCCCCAAAATTCCCCCAAAATTTGCCCCAAATTCTCCCCAAAATTCCCCTCCCCCACCCCTAATTTCCCCAAAATTCCCCCAAATTTCCCCTCCCCCCAAAACTCTCAAAATTTCCCCAAATTTTCCCCCAATTTCCCCCAAATTTCCCCAAATCCCCCAAATCCCCCAAAAATTCCTAAATTTCACCAAATTCCCCCAAATTCTCCCCCCAAATTTCCCCTCCCCACCTCCAAAATTCCCAAATTTGCCCCAAATTTGCCCAAAATCCCTCAAATTTTTCCCAAATTCTCCCTTAAATCCCCCAAATTTCCCCTCTCCCACCCCAAATTTCCCAAATTCCTCCAAATTCTCCCAAATTTCCTAAATTTTCCCAAATTCCCCCAAATTTTCCCAAATTCCCCCCAAAATCCCCCAAAATTCCCAAATTTTCCCAAATTCTCCCAAATTTCCCCTCCCCCACCCCAAATTTTCCCAAATTTTCCCAAAATTTCCCCAAATTTTTCCCTCCCCCACCCCCAAAATCCCCCAAATTCCCCCCAAAATTCCCAAATTTCCCCTCCCCACCCTCAAATTATCCCAAATTCCCAAATTTTCCCCTCCCCCACCCCCAATTTCTCCCAAATTTCCCCCAAATGCCCCAAAATTCCAAATTCCCCCAAATTCTCCCCCCAAATTTCCCCTCCCCCACCCCCAAAATTCCCAAATTCCCCCCAAAATTCTCAAATTTTCCCAAATTTCCCCAAATTCCCCCCAAATTTTCCCCTCCCCCCCTCACTTTTTTCTCTTCTCTTTTCTCTCCGCAGCCCCTCCCCCCACCCCCGCCCCTCCCCCCTCCTCCCCCTCCCCCCCCAATCATCAAAGAGGAACCGGAAGTGACGCAGGCGGGGTCCCCTCCCCCTCCCCCTCCCCCCCCTGTGCCCCTCCCCCCTCCCCGGCCCCTCCCCCCCCGCCGGCAGCCGCCGCCCCCCCCGCGCTCCCCGTTCTACCTGGTGAGGGGGGGCGGGGCCGGAAACGGGGAAATTCGGGAAAATTTGGGGGAAAATCGGGAAAATTCGGGGTGGGGGAGGGGAAACTGGGGTGGGGGAGGGGAAATTTGGGGGTTTTGGGAAAAATTTGGGGAAAATTGGGGGAATTTTGGGGGAATTTGGGGCGAACTTTGAGGGATTTGAGTGGGGCTGGGGGTGGGGGGGGGAGGGAAATTTGGGGAATTTTGGGGGATTTTGGGGGATTTGGGGGTGGGGGAGGGGAAATTTGGGATTTTTGGGGGAAATTTGGGGTGGGGGAGGGTAAATTTGGGATTTTGGGGAAAAAATTGGGGGAATTTTGGGGAAAATTCGGGGAATTTTGGCAAATTTTGAGGGATTTGAGTGGGGGCTTGGGGTGGGGGGAAGAGAAATTTGAGGGATTTTAGGTAAATTTGGGGAATTTTTTGGCAAAATTGGGGGGGTTGGGGTGTCCAGAGGGTGGGGGAGGGAAATTTGGGAAAATTCGGGGAAAATTCGGGGGATTTGGGGCAAAATTGGGGAAATTCAGGGCAAAGTTTTGGGGAAAAATTTGGGGGAAATTTGGGGAAAATTGGGGAAAAATCGGGGGTTTGGGGGTGGGGGAGGGGAAAGTGGGGGTGGGGGGAGGGGAAATTTGGGGATTTTGGGAAAAAAATTGGGGAAAATTGGGTGAAAAATCGGGGAATTTTGGGCAAATTTGGGGCAAATTTTGAGGGGTTTGAGTGGGGCTGGGGGGGGATTTTGGGCAAATTTGGGGAATTTTTGGCAAAATTGGGGGGGGGTTGGGGTGTCCAGAGGGTGGGGGAGGGGAAATTTGGGGTGGGGGAGGGGAAATTTGGGGATTTTGGGAAAAAATTTGGGGAAAAATTGGGGAATTCAGGGCAAAGTTTTGGGGATTTTGGGGAGAAAATTGGGGGGAATTCAGGGTGGGGGAGGAGAAATTTTGGGGAAATTTGGGGGAAATTGGGGAAAATTCGGGGTGGGGGAGGGGGGATAGGGGTGGGGGAAGGGAAATTTGGGGATTTTGGGAAAAAAGTTTGGGGAAAATTGGGGGAATTTTGGGCAAATTTTGGGCGAATTTGGGGCGAATTTTGAGGGATTTGAGTGGGGCTGGGGGTAGGGGGGGAGGGAAATTTGGGCAAATTTGGGGAATTTTGGGGAATTTTTTTGCAAAATTGGGGGGGTTGGGGTGTCCAGAGGTGGGGGAGGGGAAATTTGGGGATTTTGGGAAAAAATTGGGGAAAATTCGGGGAAAATTGGGGCAATTTTAAGGATTTGAGTGGGGCTGGGTGTGGGGGGGGAGGGAAATTTGGGCGAATTGGGGAAATTTGGGCAAAATTGGGCGTGGGGGAGGGGAAATTTGGGGATTTCGGGGCAAAATTTGGGGGAAATTTGGGAAAATTTGGGGGAATTTGGGGCAAAGTTTGGGGGATTTTGGGGGAAAAATTTGGGGGATTTTGGGGTGGGGGAGGAGAAATTTGGGGGAAATTTGGGGAAAATTCAGGGGTTTGGGGGTGGGGGAGGGGAAATTTGGGGATTTTGGGAAAAAATTTGGGGAAAATTGGGGGAATTTTGGGCAAATTTTGAGGGATTTGAGTGGGGCTGGGGGGGATTTTGACGGATTTTGGGGCAGATTTGGGGGTGGGGGAGGGGAAATTTGAGATTTTTGGGGAAATTGGGGGTGGGGGAGGGGAGATTTGGGGATTTTGGGGAAAAATTTGGGAAAAATTTGGGGATTTGGGGCAAATTTGGGGCAATTCAGGGCAAAGTTTTGGGGATTTTGGGGGAAAATTTGGGGGATTTTGGGGTGGGGAAGGGGAAATTTGAGGGAAATTTTGGGGGAATTTTGGGCAAAATTGGGGGGGTTGGGGGATTTGGGGGTGGGGGAGGGGAAATTTAGGGATTTTTGGGGAAAATTTGGGGGAAATTGGGGGAATTCAGGGCAAAGTTTTGGGGATTTTGGGGTGGGGGAGAAGAAATTTGGGGGAAATTTGGGGAAAATTGGGGGAAAAATCGGGGATTTGGGGGGGGAGGGGAAATTTGGGGATTTTGGGAAAAAATTTGGGGAAAATTCGGGGAATTTGGGGCGAAATTTTGGGGGAATTTGAGGCGAAATTTTGAGGGATTTGAGTGGGGCTGGGGGTGGGGGGAAGGGAAATTTGGGCAAATTTGGGGAAAATTGGGGAAAATTCGGGGTGGGGGAGGGGAGGTTGGGGTGGGGGAGGGGAAATTTGGGGATTTTGGGAAAAATTTGGGGAAAATTGGGGGAAAATTGGGGGAAAATTGGGGGAATTTTGGGCAAATTTGGGGCGAATTTTGAGGGATTTGAGTGGGGCTGGGGGGGATTTTGAGGGATTTTGGGGAATTTGGGGAATTTTGGGGCAAATTTGGGGGTGGGGGAGGGGAAATTTGGGGATTTTGGGAAAAAATTTGGGGAAAATTCGGGGAATTTTGGGGGAATTTTGGGCGAATTTTGAGGGATTTGAGTGGGGCTGGGGGTGGGGGGGAAGAGAAATTTGGGGAATTTTGGGCAAAATTGGGGGTGGGGGAGGGGAAATTTGGGGGAAATTTGGGGTGGGGGAGGGGAAATTTGGGGATTTTGGGGAAAAATTTGGGAAAATTTGGGGCAAAATTGGGGAATTCAGGGCAAAGTTTTGGGGGAAAATTTGGGGGAAATTTGGGGGATTTTGGGGTGGGGGAGGAGAAATTTTGGGGAAATTTGGGGAAAATTGGGGGGATTTTGGGGGGATTTTGGGGGTGGGGAGGGAAATTTGAGGGAATTTGGGAGAAATTTTGGGGAAAATTTGGTGAATTTTGGGCAAATTTGGGGGAATTTGAGTGGGGCTGGGGGGGGGAAGGGAAATTGCGGGATTTTGGGCAAAATTTGGGGAAATTTGGGCAAATTTGGGGGAGTTTGGGGTGTCCAGAGGGTGGGGGAGGGGAAAATTTGGTAAATTTGGGAAATTTTGGGGGAAATTTGGGGAAATTTTTGGGGAAATTTGGGGATTTTGGGGGGAATTTTGGGGAATTTTGGGCAAATTTTGGGGGATTTGGGGAAATTTTGGGGCGATTTTTAGGGAGAATTTTGGGGGGATTTGGGGGAAATTTGGGGGAAAATTTTGGGGATTTTGGGCAAATTTGGGGGATTTTGGGATGGGGAGGGGAAATTTGGTAAAATTTGGGAAATTTTGGGGAAATTTTGGGGGAAATTGGGGGATTTGGAGCAAATTTGGGGGGAATTTGGGGCAAATTTTGGGGATTTTGGAGGAATTTTAGGGAGACCCTGAGGGTGGGGGAGGGGAAAATTTTGGGGTAAAATTTGGGGATTTTGGGGGAAAAATTTGGGGGATTTTGGGCAAAATTTGGGAAAATTCGGGGGAAATTTTGGGGGAAATTTGGAGAATTTTGGGGGCTCTGGGGATGGGGAAATTTGGGAATTTTGGAGGGAAAATTTTGGGGATTTTGGGCAAATTTGTGAAAATTCAAGGGAAAATTTGGGGGACAATTTGGGGGAAAATTTGGGGGAAAATTTGGGGGAAAATTTGAGAAATTTTGGGGGCTCTGGGGATGGGGAAATTTGGGAATTTTGGAGGGAAAATTTGGGGAATTTTTGGGCAAATTTTGGGACAAATTCAGGGCAAAGTTTTGGGGATTCCGCGGCCGCTTTTGGGGCCATTTTGGGAATTTTTGTGGGAAATTTTTGGGGATTTTTTTTATTGGGGAATTTTAATCCGATTTTTTTCCCAAACTTTTTCCCATCAATCCTCGGAATTTTGGCCACTTTTGGGTTTTTTTTCTGCCGATTTTGGGCATTTTAAATCGGATTTTTTGTGCCAATTTTGACCATTTTAAACCCGATTCCTTCTGGAATTTTTTCCCAATTTTTTCCCTCAGGAATCCCTGGAAATTTTCAGAATTTGGGGCCATTTTTGGGTATTTTAGTGCAGATTTTGGGTCATTTTAATGCAGATTTTGGGGTATTTTAGTGCAGATTTTGGCCATTTTTAATGCGATTTTCATGCGGATTTTGACCATTTTAACTCCAATTTTCCCGGAATTTTTTCCAATATTTCCCAATATTTTCCCCTCAGGAATCTCTGGAATCTCCTCAAATTTGGGGCCATTTTTGGGTATTTTAGTGCAAATTTCTGGGTATTTTAATGCAAATTTTGGCCATTTTTAATGCGATTTTCTTGCCGATTTTGACCATTTTTAATCCAATTTTTCCCGGAATTTTTTCCCAATATTTTCCCAATATTTTTTTCCCCTCAGGAATCCCGGGAATCTCCTCAAATTTGGGGTCATTTTAGTGCAGATTTTGGGATATTTTAGTGCAGATTTTTGGCCGGTTTTAATGCGATTTTCATGCGGATTTTGACCATTTTAAATCCAATTTTTTCCCAATATTTTTCCCAATTTTTCCCCTCAGGAATCCCTGGAAATTTTCAAAATTTGGGGTCATTTTAGTGCAGATTTTGAGCCTTTTTAATGCAGATTTTGGGATATTTTAATGCCGATTTTGGTCATTTTTGATGCGATTTTCATTCCGATTTTGACCATTTTTAATCAATTTTCCCAGAATTTTTTCCCAATATTTTCCCCATTTTTCCCCTCAGGAATCGCTGGAATCTCCTTAACTTTGGGGCCATTATGGGGTATTTTTAGTGCAGATCTTGGCCATTTTTAATGCGATTTTCATTCTGATTTCAGCCATTTTAACTCCAATTTTTCCCGGAATTTTTGCCAATATTTTTCCATTTTTTCCCCTCAGGAATCGCTGGAATCTCCTCAAATTTGGGGCCATTTTGGGGTCATTTTAGTGCAGAATTTGGGATATTTTAGTGCAGATTTTGAGCGTTTTTAGTGCAGATTTTGGGCATTTTTAATGCGATTTTCATGCGGATTTTGACCATTTTAAATCCAATTTTTCCCGGAATTTTTTCCCAATATTTCCCAATATTTTTCCCCTCAGGAATCTCTGGAATCTCCTTAATTTTGGGGCCATTATGGGGTCATTTTAGTGCAAATTTGTGGGCATTTTAATGCAGATTTTGGCCATTTTTAATGCGATTTTAATGCGGATTTTGACCATTTTTAATCCAATTTTCCTAGAATTTTTTCCCAATATTTTCCCAATATTTTTCCCCTCAGGAATCCCTGGAATCTCCTTAACTTTGGGGCCATTTTGGGGTCATTTTAGTGCAAATTTGTGGGTATTTTAATGCCGATTTTGGCCATTTTTAATGCGATTTTCATTCCAATTTCAGCCATTTTTAATCCAATTTTTCCTGGAATTTTTTCCCAATATTTTTCCCAATTTTTCCCCTCAGGAATCCCTGAAATCTCCTTAACTTTGGGGCCATTTCTGGGTGTTTTAGTGCGGTTTTAAGCGTTTTTAGTGCAGATTTTGGGTGTTTTTAATGCGATTTTCATTCCGATTTCAACCATTTTAAATCCAATTTTTCCCGGAATTTTTTCCCAATATTTTCCCCATTTTTCCCTCAGGAGTCGCTGGAATCTCCTTAACTTTGGGGCCATTTTGGGGTCATTTTAGTGCAGAATTTGGGGGTATTTTAGTGCAGATTTTGAGCGCTTTTAGTGCAGATTTTGGGTGTTTTTAATGCGATTTTCATGCTGATTTTGACCATTTTTAATCAATTTTTCCCGGAATTTTTTCCCAATATTTCCCAATATTTTTTCCCTCAGGAATCTCTGGAATCTTCTTAAGTTTGGGACCATTTTGGGGTCATTTTAGTGCAGATTTTGGGATATTTCAGTGCAGATTTTGGCGATTTTTAATACTATTTTCATTCGATTTTGACCATTTTAAATCCAATTTTTCCAGGAATTTTTTCCAGGAATTTTTTCCCAATTTTTCCCCTCAGGAATCCCTGAAATCTCCTCAAATTTGGGGTCATTTTAGTGCAGATTTTGAGCCTTTTTAATGCAGATTTTGGGATATTTTAGTGCAAATTTTGGCCATTTTTGATGCGATTTTCATTCCGATTTTGACCATTTAAAATCCAATTTTTCCCGGGATTTTTTCCCAATATTTCCCAATATTTTTCCCCTCAGGAATCTCTGGAATCTCCTTAACTTTGGGGCCATTTTGGGGTATTTTAGTGCAGATTTTGGGGTATTTTAATGCCAATTTTTGGCCATTTTTAATGCGATTTTCTTGCCGATTTCAGCCATTTGAACCCCGATTTTTCCCGGAATTTTTTCCCAATATTTTTCCCGTTTTTTCCCCTCAGGAATCGCTGGAATCTCCTTAAGTTTGGGGCCATTTTGGGGTCATTTTAGTGCAGAATTTGGGATATTTTAGTGCAGATTTTGAGCGTTTTTAGTGCAGATTTTGGGTGTTTTTAATGCGATTTTCATGCGGATTTTGACCATTTTAACTCCAATTTTCCTGGAATTTTTCCCAATATTTTCCCAATATTTTTCCCCTCAGGAATCGCTGGAATCTCCTTAACTTTGGGGCCATTTTGGGGTCATTTTAATGCAGATTTTTGGGTCATTTTAATGCAGATTTTGGCCGTTTTTAATGTGATTTTCATTCTGATTTCAGCCATTTTTAATCCAATTTTCCTGGAATTTTTTTCCCAATATTTTCCCAATTTTTCCCCTCAGGAATCTCTGGAATCTCCTCAAATTTGGGGCCATTTTGGGGTCATTTTTAGTGCAGAATTTGGGATATTTTAGTGCAGATTCTGGGTGTTTTTAATGCGATTTTCATTCCAATTTCAGCCATTTTAACTCCAATTTTTCCTGGAATTTTTTCCCAATATTTCCCAATATTTTTCCCCTCAGGAATCTCTGGAATCTCGCCGTGCCGGGGCCGCGCCGAGCGCCTGGAGCGGCTGCTGAGGCTGAACGAGCAGCGCTGCGGCCTCAGCCCCGTCTACGGCCGGGAGGTGACGCCGGCGTCCCCTGGGGAATTTTGGGGGAATTTTTTGGGATTTTTTGGGATTTTTTGGGATTTTTTGGGATTTGTTTCCCCACAGGTCCTGCAGTTCCTGACGCTGCCCCCCAGGGAAATCCGGAGCCCGGGGGGGGGCCCTGGACAGCGCCGTGCTCGGGCCCCCCCAGCGCCTGCAGCAGATGAAGCCCATCCTCGACAGGTCAGGAAACTTCCGGGAGGTTCCGGAATTTTGGGGGAGTTTTAGGGATTTTTTTAAGGATTTTTAAAGGATTTTAAAAAAGGATTTTTAAAGGATTTTTTAGGGATTTTTTTCGGATTTTTTTCCGATTATTTTTTTTTTTTTTTTTCCGATTTTTTAAGGATTTTTTCAGATTTTTTTTCCGATTTTTTTCTGACTTTTTCTGAATTTTTTTCTGATTTTTTTGTGATTTTTTAGGGATTTTTTAGGGATTTTTAAGGATATTTTTCTGATTTTTTAATGATTTTTAGGATTTTTTAAGGATTTTTTCCGTTTTTTTAGGGATTTTTTTTTCTGATTTTTTCAAGATTTTTTCCGATTTTTTTAGAATTTTTTTTTTTAATTTTTTAAGGATAATTTTCCAGATTTTTTTTCTGATTTTTTTGGGATTTTTTTCTGATTTTTTTAGGATTTTTTCTGATTTTTTTTCTGATTTTTTTAAAGATTTTTAAGGATTTTTTTCTGATTTTTAAAGACTTTTTTAGGATTTTTTTCTGATTTTTTAGGATTTTTTTCCGATTTTTTTTCTGATTTTTTAGGATTTTTTTTTCCGATTTTTTTTTCTGATTTTTAAGGATTTTTTTTCTGATTTTTTCGGAATTTTTTTTTAATTATTATTTTTTAAGGATTTTTTTCGGCTTTTTTAGGATTTTTTCGGATTTTTTTTCCAAGTTTTTGGGGAATTTTTTGGGGATTTATTTGGTGATTTTTAGGAATTTTTGGGGAATTTATTTGGGATTTATTTGGGATTTATATGGGATTTATTTGGTGATTTTGGGGGAATTTTTGGGGAATTTTTTGGGATTTATTTGGGATTTTTTGGGATTTTTTTGGTGATTTCTGGGAAATTTTTTGGGATTTATTTGGTGATTTATGGGAATTTTTTGAGGAATTTTTGGAACTTTTGGGGAATTTTCCTGTCCCCCCCCCCCCCCAGGTTCCTGGTGGCCTCTCAGGGCCTGTCCCCAATGTCCCCATGGACCAGTCCAAGTCACTTTAGGGGGGGATCCAGGACCTTTGGACCATTCCACATCCCCATAGGGGTGTCCCAATGTCCCCAAGGTGTCCCCAAGGTGCCACCGCCCCATCTCAGTGTCCCCAAATCCCCATTTCAGTGTCCTCAAATCCCATTTCAGTGTCCCCAATGTCCCCAGGGGTGTCCCCCAGTGTCCCCATGGGCCAGTCCAAGTCACTTTAGGGGGGGATCCAGGACCTTTGGACCATTCCACATCCCCATAGGGGGAGCCCAGCCCCCCATATCGATGTCCCCAAGGTGCCACCGCCCCATTTCAGTGTCCCCACATCCCCATTTCAGTGTCCCCAGTGTCCCCAGGGGTGTCCCCATGTCCCCATGGGCCAGTCCAAGTCACTTTAGGGGGGGATCCAGAATCTTTGGGCTGTTCCATCTCCCCTTAGGGGGTGTCCCAGTGTCCCCAGTGATGTCCCCAAGGTGCCACCTCCCCGTCTCCTGTCCCCTGCCCAGGTTCCTGGTGGCCGTGCCGGCGGTGGCCTCCCGGGGCGTGTCCCCAGTGTCCCCATGGGCCAGTCCAAGTCACTTTAGGGGGGGATCCAGTTTCTTTGGACCATTCCACATCCCCATAGGGGTGTCCCACTGTCCTCAGTGATGTCCCCACGGTGCCACCGCCCCATTTCAGTGTCCCCAAATCCCCATCTCAGTGTCCCCAAATCCCCATTTCGGTGTCCCCAATGTCCCAGGGGTGTCCCCAGTGTCCCCATGGGCCAGTCCAAGTCACTTTAGGGGGGATCCAGGACCTTTGGGCTCTTCCATCTCCCCTGAGGGGGTGTCCCAGTGTCCCCAGTGATGTCCCCAAGGTGCCACCTCCCCGTCTCCGTGTCCCCTGCCCAGGTTCCTGGTGGCAGTGCCGGCCGTGGCTCCCGGGGCGTGTCCCCAATGTCCCCATGGGCCAGTCCAAGTCACTTTAGGGGGGGATCCGCTGACTCCAGTGCCACAATCCCCCCATAAGGCAGTGCCCCAGTGTCCTCAGTGATGTCCCCAAGGTGCCACCTCCCCATCTCAGTGTCCCCAAATCCCCATTTTCCGTGTCCCCAGTGTCCCCATGGGCCAGTCCAAGTCACTTTAGGGGGGGATCCGCTGACTCCAGTGCCACAATCCCCCCATAAGGCGGTGTCCCAGTGTCCCCAGTGATGTCCCCAAGGTGCCACCTCCCCATCTCCCTGTCCCCTCCTCAGGTTCCTGGTGGCGGTGCCGGCGGTGGCCTCCCGGGGCGTGTCCCCAGTGTCCCCATGGGCCAGTCCAAGTCACTTTAGGGGGGATCCAGGGCCTTTGGACCATTCCACATCCCCATAGGGGGAGTCCAGCCCCCCATATCGATGTCCCCAAGGTGCCACCACCCCATCTCCGTGTCCCCAAATCCCCATTTCAGTGTCCCCAATGTCCCCAGGGGTGTCCCCAGTGTCACCATGGGCCAGTCCAAGTCACTTTAGGGGGGATCCAGAACATTTGGGCTCTTCCATTTCCCCATAGGGGTGTCCCAGTGTCCCCAGTGATGTCCCCAAGGTGCCACCGCCCCATCTCCATGTCCCCAAATCCCATGGAAAGGTTCTAATGTCCCCATGGGCCAGTCCAAGTCCCCTCAGGGGGGGATCCAGGACCTTTGGACCATTCCACATCCCCATAGGGGTGTCCAGTGTCCTCAGTGATGTCCCCAAGGTGCCACCGCCCCATCTCAGTGTCCCCAAATCCCCATTTCAGTGTCCCCAAATCCCCAGGGGTGTCCCCAATGTCCCCATGGGCCAGTCCAAGTCACTTTAGGGGGGGATCCAGGACCTTTGGGCTCTTCCATTTCCCCATAGGGGTGTCCAATGTCCCCAAGGTGTCCCCAAGGTGCCACCGCCCATCTCAGTGTCCCCAAATCCCCATCTCCTGTGTCCCCAAATCCCCATTTCAGTGTCCCCAAATCCCCATGTCAGTGTCCCCAATGTCCCCATGGGCCAGTCAAGTCACTTTAGGGGGGGATCCAGGACCTTTGGGCTCTTCCATTTCCCCATAGGGGTGTCCCAATGTCCCCAAGGTGTCCCCAAGGTGCCACCACCCCATTTCAGTGTCCCCAAATCCCCATTTCAGTGTCCCCAAATCCCCATTTCCGTGTCCCCAAATCCCCATTGCAGTGTCCCCAGTGTCCCCAGGGGTGTCCCCAGTGTCACCATGGGCCAGTCCAAGTCACTTTAGGGGGGGATCCAGGACCTTTGAGCTGTTCCATGTCCCTATAGGGGTGTCCAAGTCCCCAAGGTGTCCCAAGGTGCCATTGCCCCATTTTAGTGTCCCCAGTGTCCCCAGGGGTGTCCCCAGTGTCCCCATGGGCCAGTCCAAGTCACTTTAGGGGGGGATCCGCTGACTCCAGTGTCACAATCCCCCCATAAGGCGGTGTCTCAGTGTCCCCAGTGATGTCCCCAAGGTGCCACCTCCCCGTCTCCGTGTCCCCTGTCCCAGGTTCCTGGTGGCCGTGCCGGCGGTGGCTCCCGGGGCGTGTCCCCAATGTCCCTATGGGCCAGTCCAAGTCACTTTAGGGGGGGATCCAGAATCTTTGGGCTCTTCCATCTCCCCTTAGGGGGTGCCCCAGTGTCCTCAGTGATGTCCCCGAGGTGCCACCACCCCGTGTCCCTGTCCCCTCAGGTTCCTGGTGGCGGTGCTGGCGGTGGCCTCCCAGGGGTGTCCCCAGTGTCCCCATGGGCCAGTCCAAGTCACTTTAGGGGGGATCCAGAATCTTTGGGCTCTTCCATCTCCCCTTAGGGGGTGTCCCAGTGTCCCCAGTGATGTCCCCAAGGTGCCACCTCCCCGTCTCCCTGTCCCCTGTCCAGGTTCCTGGTGGCCGTGCCGGCGGTGGCCTCCCAGGGGTGTCCCCAATGTCCCCATGGGCCAGTCCAAGTCACTTTAGGGGGGGATCCGCTGACTCCAGTGCCACAATCCCCCATAGGGTGTCCCAGTGTCCCCAGTGATGTCCCCAAGGTGCCTCCGCCCCATTTCAGTGTCCCAAATCCCCATTTCCGTGTCCCCAAACCCCCATTTCAATGTCCCCAAATCCCCATTTCCGTGTCCCCAAATCCCCATTTCAGTGTCCCCAAATCCCCATTTCCGTGTCCCCAATCCCCAGGGGTGTCCCCAGTGTCCCCATGGGCCAGTCCAAGTCACTTTAGGGGGGGATCCAGTTTCTTTGGACCATTCCACATCCCCATAGGGGTGTCCCAATGTCCCCAAGGTGTCCCCGAGGTGCCACCACCCCGTTTCTGTGTCCCCAAATCCCCATCTCAGTGTCCCCAATGTCCCCAGGGGTGTCCCCAGTGTCCCCATGGACCAGTCCAAGTCACTTAGGGGGGGATCCAGAATCTTTGGGCTCTTCCATCTCCTCTTAGGGGGACCCCAGCCCCCATATCGATGTCCCCAAGGTGCCACCACCCCATTTCCGTGTCCCCAAATCCCCATTTCCGTGTCCCCAATGTCCCCAGGGGTGTCCCCATGGGCCAGTCCAAGTCACTTTAGGGGGGGATCCAGAATCTTTGGGCTCTTCCATCTCCCCTTAGGGGATGTCCCAGTGCCCTCAGTGATGTCCCCAAGGTGCCACCTCCCCGTCTCCGTGTCCCCTGCCCAGGTTCCTGGTGGCCGTGCCGGCGGTGGCCTCCCGGGGCGTGTCCCCAATGTCCCCATGGGCCAGTCCAAGTCACTTCAGGGGGGGATCCAGAATCTTTGGGATCTTCCATCTCCCCTTAGGGGGTGTCCCACTGTCCTCGGTGATGTCCCCAAGGTGCCACCGCCCCGTCTCCCTGTCCCCTGTCCAGGTTCCTGGTGGCCGTGCTGGCGGTGGCCTCCCGGGGACTGTCCCCAATGTCCCCATGGGCCAGTCCAAGTCACTTTAGGGGGGGATCCAGGACCTTTGGACCATTCCACATCCCCATAGGGGAGTCCAGCCCCCCATATCGATGTCCCCAAGGTGCCACCACCCCGTGTCCCTGTCCCCTGTCCCAGGTTCCTGGTGGCGGTGCCGGCGGTGGCCTCCCGGGGCGTGGTCCCTGCACAGCGGCCGCCCCCCGCCCTGGGCGCAGCGGCAGCGGCAGCGCCTGGAGCAGCGGCTGCGGGAGGAGCTGAGGGCCCGCGGCGCTCACCTGGCCCAGGGGCTGCAGACGCAGTTCCCTGACCCGCGGCTGGTGCAGTACGACTGCGGTGAGGGGACATCGGGGACATTGAGGGGACATTGGGGACAGCCAGGGGGTGGGGATGTTGGGGACATTGAGGGGCCCTGCTGGGGACAGCCGGGGGGGTGGGAACAGCCAGGGGGGTGGGGACAGTCAGAGGGGTGGGGACAGTCAGGGGGGTTGGGGACATTGAGGGGATTGGGGACGCTGGGGACATTGAGGGGATTGGGGACACTGGGGACACTCGGGGCGCTGGTGGGGACAGTCAGGGGGGGTGGGGACAGTCAGGGGGGCTGGGGACGTTGGGGTCATGGAGGGGACATTGAGGGGATTGGGGACATTGAGGGCACTGGGGACATCCAGAGGGTTGGGGACATTGAGGGGATTGGGGGACACTGGGGACATTGGGGACATCGAGGGGATTGGGGACATTGAGGGCACTGGGGACATTGAGGGGATTGGGGACGTTCAGGGGGATTGGGGACATTGAGGGTATTGGGGACACTGGGGACATTGGGGACACTGGGGACATTGGGGACATCGAGGGGATTGGGGACATTGAGGGCACTGGGGACATTGAGGGGATTGGGACGTTCAGGGGGACTGGGGACGTTGAGGGGATTTGGGACATTGGGGGCATCCAGGGGATTGGGGACATCCAGAGGGGTTGGGGACGTGGGGACATGGAGGGGATTGGGGACATTGAGGGCATTGGGGACATCCAGAGGGGTTGGGGACACTGGGGACACTCGGGGCCCTGGTGGGGACAGTCAGGGGGGTGGGGACGTTGGGGTCATTGAGGGGACATTGAGGGGATTGGGGACATTGAGGGCACTGGGGACATCCAGAGGGGTTGGGGACATTGAAGGGATTGGGGGACACTGGGGACATTGGGGACATTGAGGGGATTGGGGACACTCAGGGTATTGGGGACAATGGGGACATTGGGGACACTGAGGGTATTGGGGACACTGGGGACACTCGGGGCCCTGGTGGGGACAGCCAGGGGGTGGGGACAGCCAGGGGGACGGGGACATCCAGGGGGATTGGGGACATTTAGAGGGGTTGGGGACATCCAGGGGGGCTGGGGACATTGGGAACATTGAGGGTGTTGGGGACACTCGGGGCACTGGGGACAGTCAGGGGGCTTGGGGACATTGGGGACATTGAGGGGTTGGGGACATTGAGCGTATTGGGGACACCGGGGGCACTCGGGGCGCTGGGGACAGCCAGGGGGGTGGGGACAGTCAGGGGGACTGGGGACATTGAGGGTGTTGGGGACATTGAGGGCACTGGGGACATCCAGGGGGATTGGGGACATTGAGGGGATTGGGGACACTGGGACGTTGAGGGCATTGGGGACGCTGGGGACACTCGGGAGGGTTGGGGACATTGAGGGGATCGGGGACATCCAGAGGGATTGGGGACGTTGGGGACATTGAGGGGATTGGGGACATTGAGGGCATTGGGGACGTTCAGGGGGATTGGGGACGTTGGGGGCATCCGGGGGATTGGGGACATCCAGAGGGGCTGGGGACACCTGGGGACAATCGGGGGATTGGGGACATTGAGGGGATTGGGGACATTGAGGGGATTGGGGACACTGGGGACACTCGGGGGGCTGGGGACAGCCAGGGGGCTTGGGGACATTGAGGGCATTGGGGACATCGGGGACATTGGGGGTGTTGGGGACGTTGGGGACATTGGGGACATTGGGGTCATTTTGGGTCTGGGGATCACAGGAGGACTCAAGGGACATTGGGACATTGGAGATGTTGGGGACATTGGGGACATTGAGCAAAAATGGTGGAAAATTGGGAAAAAATACAATTGGGGATGTTGGGGGACATTGAGAAAAAATGGGGGAAAATTGGGAAAAATGGGATTTGGGACATTGGGGACGTTGAGAAAAATGGGGGAAAATTGGGAAAAATGGGGGAAAATTGGGAAAAAATGGGATTGGGGACATTGGGGACATTCAGGGACACTGGGGACATTGGGGACATTGAGCAAAAATGGGGAACGTTGGGAGAAAATGGAGGAAAATTGGGAAAAATGGAGGAAAATTGGGAAAAATGGGATTGGGGACATTGGGGACCTTGAGCAAAAATGGGGAACGTTGGGAGAAAATGGTGAAAAATTGGGAAAAAATGGGATTGGGGACACTGGGGACATTGGGGACATTGGGGACGCTGAAGGATCCCTGCACCCCATTCCTGTCCCCACCTGTCCCTCACTGGGACCAATTCAGGGAATTTTTGGGTGAATTTCGCTGATTTTTGGGGCCAATTTAATGAATTTTGGGGGTAAAATCTTTGGGATTTTTTTAGGATTTTTTGGGGTTTTTTTATATCCCTCACCTGTGCACAATACATTGAATTTTTCAGTGCATTCCGGTGATTTTTGGGGCCAATTTAGTGAATTTTGGGGTAAAATATTCTGAATTTTGGGGTAAAAATATTCGGGATTTTGGGCATTTTTTAAAGTTTTTTTTTGGGGTTTTTGGTGTCCCTCACTGTGACCAATTCAGGAATTTTTGGAGTGAATTTCGCTGATTTTTGGGACCAATTTAGTGAATTTTGGGTAAAATTTTGGGGATTTTTAGGATTTTTTGTGTTTTCACTGTCCCTCACTGTCACCAATACATTGAATTTTTAAGTGAATTTCGCTGATTTTTTTGGGGCCAATTTAGTGAATTTTGGGCTAAAATCTGGGGATTTTTTGTATTTTTTCGGGGGTTTTTGGTGTTCCCTCACTGGGACCAATTCAGGGAATTTTTTGGGTGAATTTCGCTGATTTTTGGGGCCAATTTAATGAATTTTGGGCTAAAATCTTGGGACCTTTTTGTATTTTTTCGGGGTTTTCACTGTCCCTCACCTGCCCCTCACTGTGACCAATTCAGTGAATTTTTAAGTGAATTTTTGCTGATTTTTGGGCAAATTCAGTGAATTTTGGGGTAAAATCTTGGGGATTTTTTGTATTTTTTGGGGTTTTTGGTGTCCCTCACCTGCCCCTCACTGTGACCAATTCAGGGAATTTTTAAGTGAATTTTGCTGATTTTTGGGGGCAAAATCTTTGGGATTTTTTGGGTGTTTTCAGCGTCCCTCACCTGCCCTCACCTGTGCACAATACATTGAATTTTTAAGTGAATTTCGCTGATTTTTTGGGGCCGATTTAATGAATTTTGGGGTTAAAATCTTGGGGATTTTTTGTATTTTTTTGGGGTTTTTTGGTGTGTCCCTCACCTGTCCCTCACCGTGACCAATTCAGTGAATTTTTAAGTGAATTCTGGTGATTTTTGGGGCCAATTTAGTGAATTTGGGGTAAAAATCTTTGGGATTTTTTTAGGATTTTTGGGGGGGTTTTTGCTGTCCCTCACTGTGACCAATTAGCTGAATTTTTAAGTGAATTTTGCTGATTTTTGGGACCAATTTATGTGAATTTTGGGTTAAAATCTTGGGGATTTTGGGCATTTTTTTAAAGATTTTTTGGGGTTTTTGGTGTCCCTCACTGTGACCAATTTTTAAGTGAATTTCACTGAATTTTTACATGAATTTTGCTGATTTTTGGGGCCAATTTAGTGAATTTTGGGCTAAAATCTCAGGGATTTTTTGCATTCTTTGGGTGTTTTTGCTGTCCCTCACCTGTGCACAATACACTGAATTTTTCAGTGCATTCAGGTGATTTTTGGGGTCAATTTAATGAATTTTGGGCTAAAATCTCGGGGGATTTTTTTTTAGGATTTTTTTGGGGGTTTTTGGTGTCCCTCACTGTGACCAATTCAGTGAATTTTTAAGTGAATTTCGCTGATTTTTTGGTGGGTAAAATCTTTGGGATCTCTTTTATTTTTTCAGGAATTTTTTTTAAGCAGATTCAGGTAACTTTTGGGGCCAATTTGGTGAATTTTGGGGGTAAAAATCTTTGGGATTTTTTTAGGATTTTTTGGGGTTTTTGGTGTCCCTCACTGTGACCAATTCAGAGAATTTTTGGGTGAATTTTGCTGATTTTTGGGGCCAATTTAACGAATTTTGGGCTAAAATCTCGGGGATTTTGGGTATTTTTTGGGGGTTTTCGGCGTCCCTCACCTGTGCACAATACATTGAATTTTTAAGTGAATTTTGCTGATTTTTGGGGCCGATTTAGTGAATTTTTGGGGTAAAAATCTTTGGGATTTTTTGGGGTTTTCGGTGTCCCTCACCTGTCCCCACCTGTTCCTCACTGTGACCAATTCAGTGAATTTTTAAGTGAATTTTGCTGATTTTTGGGGCGATTTAGTGAATTTTGGGGGTAAAATTTTGGGGATTTTTAGGATTTTTTCGGGGTTTTTGGTGTCCCTCACTGTGACCAATTCAGTGAATTTTAAAGTGAATTTCGCTGATTTTCGGGGGTAAAATCTTGGGGATCTCTTTTATTTTTTCAGGATTTTTTTGAGTAGATTCAGGAAACTTTTGGGGCCAATTTAATGAATTTTGGGGTAAAATCTTTGGGATTTTTTGTATTTTTTTGGGGTTTTTGGTGTCCCTCACCGTGACCAATTCAGGGAATTTTTGGGTGAATTTCGCTGATTTTTGGGACCAATTCGGTGAATTTTGGGCTAAAATCTTGGGGATTTTTTTGTATTTTTGGGGGGTGTTTTCAGCATCCCTCACCTGCCCCTCACCTGTCCCCACCTGTTCCTCACTGTGACCAATACATTGAATTTTTAAGTGAATTTCGCTGATTTTTGGGGTCGATTTAGTGAATTTTGGGCTAAAATCTTGGGGATTTTTTGTACTTTTTTGGGGTTTTCACCATCCCTCACCTGGCCCTCACCTGTGCCCAGGTAAGCTGCAGGCCCTGGACGTGCTCCTGCGCCGGGCTGCGCGCCGGGGGGCACCGGGTGCTGATCTTCACGCAGATGACGCGGATGCTGGACGTGCTGGAGCGCTTCCTCACCTTCCACGGGCACATCTACCTGCGCCTGGACGGCTCCACCCGCGTGGAGCAGAGACAGGTGAGCCCTGACACACCTGGGATACACCTGGGATACACCTGGGATACACCTGGGATACACCTGGATACACCTGGGTGCAGTTAGAGACACCTGGGATACACCTGGGTACACCTGGGGCACATCTACCTGCGCCTGGACGGCTCCACCCGCGTGGAGCAGAGACAGGTGAGCCCTGACACACCTGGGAGGGGTCAGACACACCTGGGATACACCTGGGTGCAGTTAGAGACACCTGGGATACACCTGGGATACACCTGGGGCACATCTACCTGCGCCTGGACGGCTCCACCCGCGTGGAGCAGAGACAGGTGAGCCCTGACACACCTGGGATACACCTGGGATACACCTGGGATACACCTGGTTGGGGTCAGACACACCTGGGATACACCTGGGTACACCTGGGTGGGGTCAGACACACCTGGGATACACCTGGGTACACCTGGGTGGGGTCAGACACACCTGGGATACACCTGGGTGTGATTGGGACACACCTGGGATACACCTGGATACACCTGGGATACACCTGGGTGCAGTTAGAGACACCGGGATACACCTGGGATACACCTGGGTGCAGTTAGAGACACCGGGATACACCTGGGATACACCTGGGGCACACCTGGGATACACCTGGGACACACCTGGGTGGGGTTAGACACAGCTGGGGCACACCTGGATACACCTGGATACACCTGGGGGCACATCTACCTGCGCCTGGACGGCTCCACCCGCGTGGAGCAGAGGCAGGTGAGCCCGGATACACCTGGGGAGGGGTCAGATACACCTGGGATACACCTGGATACACCTGGGATACACCTGGATACACCTGGGATACACCTGGGATACACCTGGGGCACATCTACTGCGCCTGGATGGCTCCACCCGCGTGGAGCAGAGACAGGTGAGCCCTGACACACCTGGGGAGGGGTCAGACACACCTGGGATACACCTGGGATACACCTGGGGACACCTGGGTGTGATTGGGATACACCTGGGTGGGGTTAGACACACCTGGGATACACCTGGGATACACCTGGGTGCAGTTAGAGACACCTGTGATACACCTGGGATACACCTGGGGCACATCTACCTGCGCCTGGACGGCTCCACCCGCGTGGAGCAGAGACAGGTGAGCCCTGACAACCTGGGATACACCTGGGATACACCTGGGATACACCTGGGATACACCTGGGTACACCTGGATACACCTGGGATACACCTGGGTGGGTCAGACACACCTGGGATACACCTGGGTGTGATTGGGATACACCTGGGTGGGAACAGAGACACCTGGGACACACCTGGGATACACCTGGATACCACCTGGGTGCAGTCAGGTGTGGCTGGGATACACCTGGGTGCAGTTAGAGACACCTGGGATACACCTGGGTGTGATTGGGATACACCTGGGATACACCTGGGATACACCTGGGATACACCTGGGGCACATCTACCTGCGCCTGGACGGCTCCACCCGTGTGGAGCAGAGACAGGTGAGCCGGGATACACCTGGGATACACCTGGGTACACCTGGGATACACCTGGGACACACCTGGATACACCTGGGATACACCTGGGATACACCTGGGTGCAGTTAGAAGACACCTGGATACACCTGGATACACCTGGGTGTGATTGGGATACACCTGGGTACACCTGGACACACCTGGGGCACACCTGGGGCACATCTACCTGCGCCTGGACGGCTCCACCCGCGTGGAGCAGAGACAGGTGAGCCCTGACACACCTGGGATACACCTGGGGGTGGGGTTAGACACACCTGGGTACACCTGGGTGCAGTTAGAGACAGGTGGGACACACCTGGATACACCTGGGATACACCTGGGTGTGATTAGGATACACCTGGGTGGGGTCAGACACACCTGGGGCACACCTGGATACACCTGGGATACACCTGGGTGCAGTCAGGTGTGGCTGAGACACACCCTGAGGCTGTAGCACCTCCAGGTGTGCCCCAGGTATCTCCAGGTGTGCCCCAGGTGCTCCAAACTCACTCTCAGGTGTGTCCCAGGTGTGCCCCAGGTGTGCCCCAGCTCACTCCCTGGTGTCTCAGGTGAGCTCCTGAGTGCCCTGAGGTCCAACCAGGGGTACCCAGGTGTGTCCCAGGTGTGTCCCAGGTGTGTCCCAGGTGCTCCAAGCTCACTCCCAGGTGTGCCCAGGTGTCTCAGGTGAGCTCCTGAGTGCCCTGAGGTCCAACCCAGGTGTGCCCCAGGCGTACCCCAGGTGTGCCCCAGCTGTGCCCCAGGTATCTCAGGTGTGCCCCAGCTGTGCCCCGGGTGTGCCCCAGGTGCACCAAGCTCACTCCCAGGTGTGCCCCAGGTGTGCCAAACTCACTGCCAGGTGTGCCCAGGTATCTCAGGTGAGCTCCTGAGTGCCCTGAGGTCCAACCCAAGTGTGCCCCCCCCTATCTCAGGTGTGCCCCCCCTATCTCAGGTGTGCCCCAGCTCACTCCCAGCTGTGCCCAGGTGTGCCCAGGTGTGCCTAGGTATTCAGGTGTGACCCAGGTGTGCCCCAGCTATCTCAGGTGTACCCAGGTGTGTCCCAGGTATCTCAGGTGTGTCCCCAGGTATCTCAGGTGTGTCCCAAGCTCACTCCCAGGTGTGCCCAGGTGTGCCCCAGCTATCTCAGGGTGTGCCCAGGTGTACCCAGGTGTGCCCCAGCTATCTCAGGTGTGCCCAGGTGTGCCCAGGTGTGCCCCAGGAGTCTCAGGTGTGCCCCAGGCTCACTCCCAGGTGTGTCCCAGCTATCTCAGGGTGTGCCCAGGTGTGCCCAGGTGTGTCCCAAGCTCACTCCCAGCTGTGCTCAGGTGTACCCAGGTGTACCCAGGTGTGCCCCCAAGCATCTCAGGGTGTGCCCAGGTGTGCCCCAGGTGTGGCCCAGCTATCTCAGGTGTGCCCAGGTGTGCCCCAGGTGTCTCAGGTGTGTCCCAAGCTCACTCCCAGGTGTGCCCCAGGGTACCCAGGGTGTGCCCCAGCTATCTCAGGGTGTGCCCAGGTGTGCCCCAGCTATCTCAGGTGTGCCCAGCTGTGCCCAGCTGTGCCCAGGTGTGCCCAGGTGTGCCCCAGCTAATCTCAGGTGTGCCCAGGTGTGCCCCAGCTATCTCAGGCATGCCCCAGGTGTCCCCGCCCCTCACCTGTCCCCCCTCACCTGTGCCCGCAGGCCCTCATGGAGCGCTTCAACGCCGACAAGCGAATTTTCTGCTTCATCCTCTCCACGCGCTCGGGCGGGCGTCGGCGTCAACCTGGCGGGGGCGGACCACGGTCGTGTTCTACGACTCGGACTGGAACCCGACCATGGACGCGCAGGCGCAGGACAGGTGCCACCGCATCTGGCCAGACCCGCGACGTGCACATCTACAGGTGAGCAACAGGTACAGGACAGGTGCCACCGCATCGGCCAGACCCGCGACGTGCACATCTACAGGTGAGAGCACACCTGGGCACAGGTACAGGACAGGTGCCACCGCATCGGCCAGACCCGCGACGTGCACATCTACAGGTGAGAGCACACCTGGGGAGCTCACCTGGGCAGGTACAGGGGCCACCGCATCGGCCAGACCCGCGACGTGCACATCTACAGGTGAGCACACACACCTGGGAGGCGAGGTTAGGAGCTCACCTGGAGCTCACCTGTGCAGGTAGTTGGGATTTAGGAGCTCACCTGTAGCACCTGGAGCTCACCTGTGTGGCTCTGTGGGGAGTTAGGAGCTCACCTGTAGCACCTGGAGCTCACCTGTGCAGGTACTTGGGAGTTATGGACTCACCTGTAGCACCTGGTGCTCACCTGGGCAGGTATTTGGGAGTTCTGAGCTCACCTGTAGCACCTGGAGCTCACCTGTGCTGGGATTTGGGTACCTGGGCAGGTACAGGACAGGTGCCACCGCATTGGCCAGACCCGCGACGTGCACATCTACAGGTGAGCACAGGTACAGGACAGGTGCCACCCGCATCGGCCAGACCCGCGACGTGCACATCTACAGGTGAGAGCACACCTGGGCACAGGTACAGGACAGGGGCCACCGCATCGGCCAGACCCGCGACGTGCACATCTACAGGTGAGCACACAACCTGGGGAGCTCACCTGGGCAGGTACAGGGGCCACCGCATCGGCCAGACCCGCGACGTGCACATCTACAGGTGAGCACACCAGGGAGGCGAGTTAGGAGCTCACCTGGAGCTCACCTGTAGCACCCTGGAGCTCACCTGTGCAGGTAGTTGGGATTTAGGAGCTCACCTGTAGCACCTGGAGCTCACCTGTGTGGCTCTATGGGAGTCAGGAGCTCACCTGTAGCACCCGGAGCTCACCTGTGCAGGGATTTGGGAGTTAGGAGCTCACCTGTAAGCACCTGGAGCTCACCTGTGCAGGTACTTGGGAGTTATGGACTCACCTGTGCAGCTGGAGAAGCACCTGGAGCTCACCTGTGCAGGTATTTGGGATCTAGGAGCTCACCTGTAGCACCTGGAGCTCACCTGTGTGGCTCTATGGGAGTTACGGACTCACCTGTGCAGCTGGAGAAGCACCTGGTGCTCACCTGGGCAGGTATTTGGGAGTTCTGAGCTCACCTGTAGCACCTGGAGCTCACCTGTGCAGGTGTTTGGGAGTTAGGAGCTCACCTGTAGCACCTGGAGCTCACCTGTGCAGGTGTTTGGGAGTTCTGAGCTCACCTGTAGCACCTGGAGCTCACCTGTGCAGGGATTTGGGTACCTGGGCAGCCGCAGGTGCCACCGCATCGGCCAGACCCGCGACGTGCACATCTACAGGTGAGAGCACACACCTGGGGAGCTCACCTGGGCAGTTGGAGAAGCACCTGGAGCTCACCTGTGTGGCTGTATGGGAGTTAGGAGCTCACCTGTGCAGGTATTTGGGATCTAGGAGCTCACCTGGGCAGGTACTTGGGAGTTATGGACTCACCTGTGCAGCTGGAGAAGCACCTGGAGCTCACCTGTAGCACCTGGAGCTCACCTGGGCAGGTAGTTGGGAGTCAGGAGCTCACCTGTGCAGGGATTTGGGTACCTGGGCAGGCACCAGGTGCCACCGCATTCGGCCAGACCCGCGACGTGCACATCTACAGGTGAGCACACACACCTGGGCACAGGTACAGGACAGGTGCCACCGCATCGGCCACACCCGCGACGTGCACATCTACAGGTGAGAGCACACACCTGGGAGGGGATTTAGGAGCTCACCTGTAGCACCTGGTGCTCACCTGTGCAGGTATTTGGGATTTAGGAGCTCACCTGGGCAGGGATTTGGGTACCTGTGCTGGGATTTGGGTACCTGGGCAGGACAGGTGCCACCGCATCGGCCAGACGCAACAATGTGCACATCTACAGGTGAGCACACCTGGGGAGCTCACCTGGGCAGGTAGTTGGGATTTAGGAGCTCACCTGTGCAGGTACTTGGGAGTTATGGACTCACCTGTGCACCTGGAGAAGCACCTGGAGCTCACCTGTGTGGCTCTATGGGGAGTCAGGAGCTCACCTGTAGCACCTGGAGCTCACCTGGGCAGGTAGTTGGGATTTAGGAGCTCACCTGTTGTGGTTGTTTGGGAGTCAGGAGCTCACCTGGGCGGAGATTTGGGAGTTAGGAGCTCACCTGTGCGGCTCTATGGGAGGTCAGGAGCTCACCTGTGCTGGGATTTGGGTACTTGGGCAGGTACAGGTGCCACCGCATCGGCCAGACCCGCGACGTGCACATCTACAGGTGAGCACACACACCTGGGAGCTCACCTGTAGCACCTGGAGCTCACCTGTGTGGCTGTATGGGAGTTAGGAGCTCACCTGTGCAGGGATTTGGGATCTAGGAGCTCACCTGGGCAGGTACTTGGGAGTTATGGACTCACCTGTGCAGCTGGAGAAGCACCTGGAGCTCACCTGTGTGGCTGTGTGGGTTCTAGGAGCTCACCTGTGCAGGTGTTTGGGATTTGGGAGCTCACCTGTGCGGGGATTTGGGTACCTGGGCAGGTGCATGTGCCACCGCATCGGCCAGACCCGCGACGTGCACATCTACAGGTGAGCACACCTGGGAGGGGATTGGGGAGCTCACCTGGAGCTCACCTGTGCAGGTACTTGGGAGTTATGGACTCACCTGTAGCACCTGGAGCTCACCTGGGCAGGGATTTGGGTACCTGGGCAGGTATTTGGGATTTAGGAGCTCACCTGTAGCACCTGGAGCTCACCTGGGCAGGGATTTGGGAGTCAGGAGCTCACCTGTAGCACCTGGAGAAGCACCTGGAGCTCACCTGTGTGGCTGTGTGGGATTTAGGAGCTCACCTGGAGCTCACCTGGGCAGGTAGTTGGGAGTTAGGAGCTCACCTGTGCAGGTACTTGTGAGTTAGGAGCTCACCTGTGCAGGGATTTGGGAGTTAGGAGCTCACCTGTAGCACCTGGAGCTCACCTGTGTGGCTGTGTGGGATTTAGGAGCTCACCTGTGTGGCTCTATGGGAGTCAGGAGCTCACCTGTAGCACCTGGTGCTCACCTGTGCAGGGATTCGGGAGTTAGGAGCTCACCTGTAGCACCTGGAGCTCACCTGTGCAGGTAGTTGGGATTTAGGAGCTCACCTGTGTGCTTGTATGGGAGTTAGGAGCTCACCTGTGCAGGGATTTGGGTACCTGGGCAGGACAGGTGCCCACCGCATCGGCCAGACCCGCGACGTGCACATCTACAGGTGAGCACACCTGGGCGGGGATTGCGGGATTCAGGAGCTCACCTGGGCAGGGATTTGGGAGTTATGGACTCACCTGTGCAGCTGGAGAAGCACCTGGAGCTCACCTGTGCAGGTATTTGGGATTTAGGAGCTCACCTGTAGCACCTGGAGCTCATCTGTGCAGGTGTTTGGGCTTTAGGAGCTCACCTGGGCAGGTATTTGGGAGTTATGGACTCACCTGTGCACCTGAAGAAGCACCTGGAGCTCACCTGTGCAGGTGTTTGGGCTTTAGGAGCTCACCTGTGTGAGAATCAGGGAGTTGTGGACTCACCTGTGCATGTCTCACCTGTCCGTACCTGCAGGCCGACCACAGTGGAGAACACCTGGAGCTCACCTGGGGCTGTTCCCTTGTCCTTACCTGTCCATACTGTCCACACCTGTGTCACCTGTCCATACCTGTCCATACCTGTCCATACCTGTCCATACCTGTGTCACCTGTCCATACCTGTCTGTACCTGTGTCTCACCAGTGTCTCACCTGTGTCACCTGTCCTTACCTGTGTCTCACCTGTCCTTACCTGTGTCTCACCTGTCCTCACCTGTCCAGGTTGATCACGGTGCAGGAGAACACCTGGAGCTCACCTGGGGCTGTTCCCAGGTGTCACCTGTGTCTCACCTGTCCTTACCTGTCTCGCCCGTTTCTCACCTGTCCATCACCTGTCTGTACCTGTCCTTACCTGTCTCACCTGTGTCCCACCTGTGTATCCCCTGTCCCTCACCTGTGTCCCTCACCTGTCTCACCCTGTGTCCATACCTGTGTCCCACCTGTCCCTCACCTGTGTCCCTCACCTGTGTCCATACCTGTGTCTCACCTGTCCCTCTCACCTGTGTCCCACCTGTCTCACCTGTCCCTCACCTGTCCCTCTCACTTGTGTCCCACCTGTGTCTCACCTGTGTCCCACCTGTCTCACCTGTCCCTCTCACCTGTCCCTCACCTGTGTCCATACCTGTGTCTCACCTGTCTCTCACCTGTCCCTCCCCAGTCCCTCACCTGTCCCTCTCACCTGTGCAGGTTGATCTCGGAGCGCACCGTTGAGGAGAACATTCTCAAGAGCCCATACCTGTGTCTCACCTGTGTCTCACCTGTGTCCCTCACCTGTGTCCATACCTGTGTCCCCTCTCCTGTGTCCATACCCATCCCTCCCTTGTCCCTCCCTGTCCATCTCACCTGTGTCTCACCTGTGTCCATACCTGTGTCCATACCTGTCTCTCACCTGTCCATCTCACCTGTCCCTCTCACCTGTGCAGGTTGATCTCGGAGCGCACCGTGGAGGAGAACATTCTCAAGAGCCCATACCTGTGTCCATACCTGTGTCCATACCTGTGTCCATCTCACCTGTGTCTCACCTGTGTCCATACCTGTGTCCATACCTGTTCCTCTCACCTGTGCAGGTTGATCTCGGAGCGCACCGTTGAGGAGAACATTCTCAAGAGCCCATACCTGTGTCCATACCTGTGTGTCTCACCTGTCTCTCACCTGTCCCTCACCTGTGTCCATACCCGTGTCCATACCTGTGTCTCACCTGTCCCTCCTCACCTGTGCAGGTTGATCTCGGAGCGCACCGTTGAGGAGAACATTCTCAAGAGCCCATACCTGTGTCCATACCTGTGTCCATACCTGTGTCCATACCTGTGTCCCTCACCTGTCTCTCACCTGTCCCTCACCTGTGTCCATACCCGTGTCCATACCTGTGTCTCACCTGTCCCTCTCACCTGTGCAGGTTGATCTCGGAGCGCACCGTTGAGGAGAACATTCTCAAGAGCCCATACCTGTGTCCATACCTGTGTCTCACCTGTCTCACCTGTGTCCATCTCACCTGTGTCCCTGTCACCTGTGCAGGTTGATCTCGGAGCGCACGGTTGAGGAGAACATTCTCAAGAGCCCATACCTGTGTCCATACCTGTGTCCATACCTGTCTCTCACCTGTGTCCATCTCACCTGTGTCTGTCTCACCTGTGTAGGTTGATCTCGGAGCGCACGGTTGAGGAGAACATTCTCAAGAGCCCATACCTGTGTCCATACCTGTGTCCCTCACCTGTGTCCCTCACCTGTGTCCATACCTGTGTCACTCACCTGTGTCTCACCTGTGCAGGTTGATCTCGGAGCGCACCGTTGAGGAGAACATTCTCAAGAGCCCATACCTGTGTCCATACCTGTGTGTCTCACCTGTGTCCATACCTGTGTCCATACCTGTGTCCATACCTGTGTCCCTCACCTGTCCCTCACCTGTGTCCATACCTGTGTCTCACCTGTCCGTCTCACCTGTGCAGGTTGATCTCGGAGCGCACGGTTGAGGAGAACATTCTCAAGAGCCCATACCTGTCCCTCACCTGTGTCTCACCTGTGTCCATACCTGTCCCTCACCTGTCCATCTCACCTGTGTCTCACCTGTGCAGGTTGATCTCGGAGCGCACGGTTGAGGAGAACATTCTCAAGAGCCCATACCTGTCCCTCACCTGTGTCTCACCTGTGTCCATACCTGTCCCTCACCTGTCCATCTCACCTGTGTCTCACCTGTGCAGGTTGATCTCGGAGCGCACCGTTGAGGAGAACATTCTCAAGAAGGCCAATCAAGAGCGGCTCCTGGGGGACATGGCCATCGAGGGCGGCAACTTCACCACGGCCTACTTCAAACAGGTGAGGCCCCGCCCCCCGGCAGGTGAGACCCCGCCCCCAGCAGGTGAGGCCCCGCCCCCAGCAGGTGAGGCCCCGCCCCCAGCAGGTGAGGCCCTGCCCCTGACAGGTGAGACCCCGCCCCTGACAGGTGAGACCCCGCCCCTGACAGATGAAACCCACCCCTGACAGGTGAGACCCCACGCCCATCAGGTGAGACCCTGACAGGTGAGGGCAGGGCCCCAACCTGGGAGGGGTTTGGGGGTCCCAGGTGGGTTCCAGGTGCGGAGGAACCTCCTGAGGGCACCTTTGGGGTGTTCAGGTGAGGCTCAGGTCCCCCCAGGTGTCCCCAGGTGTGGTTCAGGTGGGTTCAGGTGTCCCCAGGTGTGCCCAGGTGTGTCCCCAAGTGCCCCCAGCTGTCCCAGGTGTGTCCCAGGTGTGCCCAGGTGCCCCCAGCTGTCCCCAGGTGCCCCCAGGTGCGCCCAGGTGTGCCCAGGTGTGTCCCCAGGTGTGCCCAGGTGCCCCCAGGTGCGCCCAGGTGTGCCCAGGTGTGTCCCCAGATGTCCCCAGGTGTGCCCAGGTGTGTCCCCAGATGTCCCCAGGTGTGCCCAGGTGCCCCCAGCTGTCCCCAGGTGCCCCCAGGTGCGCCCAGGTGTGCCCAGGTGTGTCCCCAGGTGTCCCCAGGTGTGCCCAGGTGCCCCCAGGTGTGTCCCCAGGTGTGTCCCTAGGTGTGTCCCCAGGTGCCCCCAGCTGTCCCCCAGCTGTCCCCAGGTGTGTGCCCAGGTGCCCTCAGCTGTCCCCAGGTGTGTCCCCAGGTGTCCCCAGCTGTCCCAGCTGTGCCAGGTGTCCCCAGGTGTGTCCCTAGGGGTGTGCCCAGGTGCCCCCAGCTGTCCCCAGCTGCCCCCAGGTGTGCCCAGGTGTCCCCAGCTGTCCCCAAGTGTCCCCAGCTGTCCCCAGGTGCCCCCAGGTGCTCCCAGGTGCCCCCAGCTGTCCCCAGGTGCCCCCAGCTGTCCCCAGCTGTCCCCAGGTGTCCCAGGTGTGTCCCAGCTGTCCCCAGGTTCCCCCAGGTGTGCCCAGGTGTGCCCAGGTGCCCCCAGCTGCCCCCAGCTGCCCCCAGGTGTGCCCAGGTGTGCCCAGGGTGCCCCCAGCTGTCCCCAGCTGTCCCCAGGTGCCCCCAGGTGTGTCCCTAGGGGTGTGCCCAGGTGTCCCCAGGTGTCCCCAGGTGCCCCCAGGTGTGCCCAGGTGTGCCCGTGCCCGCAGCAAACCATCCGCGAGCTGTTCGACATGGCGCCCGAGGAGCCGGCCCGGGAGCGGGGGGACGGCGACGGGGGACAGGGGGACGGACGGACACAGGGACCGGGGGACGGACGGACACAGGGACAGGGACGCGCCCGAGGACGACGAGGACCCCCCCGCGGCCACCAGGAGGACGCACATCCTGGAGCAGGTGAGGGGCACCTGGCACAGGTGGGGTCCCCAAAATGGACCCAGAAGAGCCCAAAAATGGCCCCAAAAGAGCCCAAAAATGGACCCAAAATGGGCCTAAAAGAGCTCAAAAATAGACCTAAAATGGCCCCAAAAGGGCCCAAAAAATGGACTCCAAAATGGCCCCAAAAATGGCCCCAAAAATGGTTCCAAAAATGGACCCAAAATGGCCCCAAAAGAGCCCAAAAATGGCCCCAAAAAGGGCCCCAAAAATGGCCCAAAAATAGACCCAAAAATGGCCCCAAAATGGCCCCAAAGGAGCCCAAAAATGGCCCCAAAATGGACTTCAAAATGGCCCCGAAATGGCCCCGAAATGGCCTCAAAAGAGCCCAAAAATGGACCCAAAGTGGCCCCGAAATGACCCAAAAATGGACCCCAAAATGAGTCCAAAAAATGGACACAGAATGGACCCAAAGAGCCCAAAAATGGACTCAAAAATGGCCCAAAATGGACCCAAAAATGGTCCTAAAAGAGGCCAAAAATGGACCCAAAAGAGCCCAAAAATGAACCCAAAATGGCCCCAAAATGGCCCCAAAGGAGCCCAAAAATGGACCCAGAATGGCCCCAAAATGGACCCAAAAGAGCCCAAAATGGCTCCAAAATGGACCCAAAAAAGGCCCTAAAATGGCCCAAAATGGACCCAAAATGGACCCAAAAAAAGGCCCCAAAATGGCCCAAAATGGTCCCAGAATGGACCCAAAAGAGCCCAAAAATGGACCCAAAATGGGCCTAAAAGAGCTCAAAAATAGACCTAAAATGGCCCCAAAAGGGCCCAAAAATGGACCTAAAGTGACCCCGAAATGGACCCAAAAATGGCCCATAAAGAGCCCAAAAATGGCCCCAAAATGGACCCAAAAATGGCCCAAAATGGTCCCAGAATGGACCCAAAAGAGCCCAAAAATGGACTAAAAAATGGCCCAAAATGGACCCAAAAATGGCTCCAAAATGGACCCAAAATAGCCCCAAACATGGCCCAAAATGGCCCCAAAAGACCCCAAAAATGACTCAAAATGGCCCCAAAAACGGACCCAAATGGCCCCAAAATGGCCCAAAAATGGACACAGAATGGACCCAAAAGAGCCCAAAAATGGACCCAAAAATGACCCAAAAATGGACCCAGAAATGGCCCCAAATGTCCCCAAAATGGCCCCAAAAATGGACCCAAAAATGGCCCCAAAAGACCCCAAAAACGGACCCAGAAATGGCCCCAAATGTCCCCAAAATGGCCCCAAAAATGGACCCAGAAATGGCCCCAAACTGTCCCCAAAATGGACCCAAAATGGCGCCAAAATTGCGCCAAATGGACCCAAAATGGACCCAAAATGGCCCCAAAATGGCGCCAAATGGACCCAAATGTCCCCAATGTCCCCAATCCCATTTTTCCCCTTTTTCCACCATTTTTTCCCAACGTTCCCCATTTTTGCTCAATGTCCCCCAATGTCCCCAATCCCATTTTTTTCCCAATTTTTCGCCATTTTCTCCCCATTTTTCGTCCAATTTTTTCCCAATTTTTTCACCGTTTTTTTCCAATTTTCCCCCCATTTTTCCCCCAATGTTCCCAGTCCCATTATTCCCAATTTTCCCCCATTTTTCATCCAATTTTTTCCCAAATTTTCCCCATTTTTTCTCTATGTCCCCCAATGTCCCCGCAGTGTCCCCAATCCCATTTTCCGTCATTTTCCCCCCATTTTTCGTCCAATTTTTTCCCAATTTTTTCGCCGTTTTTTCCAAAATTTTCCCCCAATGTCCCCAATGCAATTTTTCCCAATTTTCCGCCATTTCTCCGCCGTTTTTCTGCCATTTTTCATCCAATTTTTTCCCAATTTTTTCACCGTTTTTTTCCCAAATTTTCCCCCATTTTTCCCCAATGTCCCCCCAATGTCCCGAATGTCCCCAGTCCCATTTTTCCGCCATTTCTCCGCCATTTTTCCCCCATTTTTCATCCAATTTTTTCCCAATTTTTTCACCGTTTTTTCCCAATTTTCTCCCATTTTCCCCAATGTCCCCAATGTCCCCCCAATGTCCCCAGTGTCCCCAATGTCCCCAACCCCATTTTTTCCCAATTTTCCACCATTTTTTCCCAATGTTCCCCATTTTTGCTCAATGTCCCCAATGTCCCCAATGTCCCCAATGCCCCCAATGTCCCCAATGTCCCCAATGTCCCCAGTCCCATTTTCCCAATTTTCTGCCATTTTTTCCCCATTTTTCGTCCAATTTTTTCCCAATTTTCTCCCATTTTTTCTCAATGCCCCCCAATGTCCCCAGTCCCATTTTTCCGCCATTTTCTCCCCATTTTTCATCCAATTTTTTCACCATTTTTTCCCAAGTTTTCTCCCATTTTTCCCCAATGTCCCCAATGCCTCCATTGTCCCCCCAGTGTCCCCAGTGTCCCCAATGTCCCCAATGTCCCCAGTCCCATTTTTCCGCCATTTTTCTGCCATTTCTCTGCCATTTTCCCACCATTTTCCTCCCATTTTTCTGCCATTTTTCGTCCAATTTTTGTCCAATTTTTTCCCAATTTTTTCACCGTTTTTTTCCCCAATTTTCCCCCATTTTTCCCCACTGCTGTCCCCAGGCTCTGTGCGGGGCTGAGGACCCCGAGGACATCCGGGCGGCCTCGCAGGCCCAGGCCGAGCACGTGGCCCCATTGTCCCCAATGTCCCCCCAATGTCCCCATTTTTCCCAATTTTCCGCCATTTTCCCACCATTTTCCCGCCATTTTCTCCCCATTTTTCGTCCAATTTTTTCCCCGTTTTTCCCCAATTTTTCGTCCATTTTTTTCCCAATGTCCCCCCAATGTCCCCAAAGTCCCCAATGCCTCCAGTGTCCCCAATGTCCCCAGTCCCATTTTTCCGCCATTTCTCTGCCATTTCTCCGCCATTTTTCGTCCAATTTTTTTCCCCGTTTTTTCCCAAATTTTCTCCCATTTGTCCCCAACTTCCCCAATGTTGTCCCCAATGTCCCCAGGCTCTGTGCGGGGCCGAGGACCCCGAGGACATCCGGGCGGCCTCGCAGGCCCAGGCCAAGCACGTGGCCCCAATGTCCCCAATGTCCCCTCAATGTCCCCAATGTCCCCAGTCCCATTTTCCCACCATTTTCCCGCCATTTTTCTGCCATTTTTCGTCCAATTTTCGTCCGATTTTTTCCCAATTTTTTCCCATTTTTTCTGAATGCCCCCCAGTGTCCCCAATCCCATTTTTTCCCAAGTTTTCTCCCATTTTTTTCCCAATGTCCCCAATGCCTCCATTGTCCCCCCAGTGTCCCCAGTGTCCCCAATGTCCCCAATGTCCCCAGTCCCATTTTTCCGCCATTTTTCTACCATTTTTCATCCAATTTTCGTCCAATTTTCGTCCAATTTTTTCACCGTTTTTTCCCCAATTTTCCCCCATTTTCTCTCAACGTCCCCAATGTCCCCAATGCTGTCCCCCGTGCTGTCCCCAGGCTCTGTGCGGGGCCGAGGACCCCGAGGACATCCGGGCGGCCTCGCAGGCCCAGGCCGAGCACGTGGCCCCAATGTCCCCCCAATGTCCCCAATGTTGCCTCCAATGTCCCCAGTCCCCAATTTTCCGCCATTTTTCCGCCATTTTCTCCCCATTTTTCATCCAATTTTTTCCCAATTTTCTGCCATTTTTTTCCCAATATCCCCCCAATGTCCCCTGTCCCATTTTCCTGCCATTTCTCCGCCATTTTTCCACCATTTTTCCACCATTTCTCTGCCATTTTCCCACCAGTTTTCTCCCATTTTTCTGCCATTTTTCGTCCAATTTTCGTCCAATTTTTTCCCAATTTTTTCACCGTTTTTTCCCCAATTTTCCCCCATTTTCTCTCAACGTCCCCAATGTCCCCAATGCTGTCCCCCGTGCTGTCCCCAGGCTCTGTGCGGGGCCGAGGACCCCGAGGACATCCGGGCGGCCTCGCAGGCCCAGGCCGAGCACGTGGCCCCAATGTCCCCCCAATGTCCCCAATGTTGCCTCCAATGTCCCCAGTCCCAATTTTCCGCCATTTTTTCCCCCATTTTCTCCCCATTTTTCATCCAATTTTTTCCCAATTTTCTGCCATTTTTTTCCCAATATCCCCCCAATGTCCCCTGTCCCATTTTCCTGCCATTTCTCCGCCATTTTTCCACCATTTTTTCCGCCATTTCTCTGCCATTTTCCCACCAGTTTTCTCCCATTTTTCTGCCATTTTTCGTCCAATTTTCGTCCAATTTTTTCCCAATTTTTTCACCGTTTTTTCCCCAATTTTCCCCCATTTTCTCTCAACGTCCCCAATGTCTCCAATGCTGTCCCCAATGTCCCCAGGCTCTGTGCGGGGCCGAGGACCCCGAGGACATCCGGGCGGCCTCACAGGCCCAGGCCGAGCACGTGGCCCCAATGTCCCCCCAATGTCCCCAATGTCCCCCCAATGTCCCCAATGTTGCCTCCAATGTCCCCAGTCCCAATTTTCCGCCATTTTTTCCGCCATTTTCTCCCCATTTTTTCATCCAATTTTTTCCCAATTTTCTGCCATTTTTTTCCCAATATCCCCCCAATGTCCCCTGTCCCATTTTCCTGCCATTTCTCCGCCATTTTTCCACCATTTTTCCGCCATTTCTCTGCCATTTTCCCACCAGTTTTCTCCCATTTTTCTGCCATTTTTCGTCCAATTTTCATCCAGTTTTTTCCCAATTTTTTCACCATTTTTTCCCCAATTTTCCCCCATTTTCTCTCAACGTCCCCAATGTCCCCAATGCTGTCCCCGTGCTGTCCCCAGGCTCTGTGCGGGGCCGAGGACCCCGAGGACATCCGGGCGGCCTCGCAGGCCCAGGCCGAGCACGTGGCCGCCATGGCCGAGTTCAGCGAGAGCCCCAGCCCCGAGGGAGCCCCCGAGGAGGAGCTGAGCAAGGCCGAGCAGGAAATCGCGGCGCTGGTGGAACAGGTGAGGGACACACCTGGGGACACACCTGGGGACACACCTGGGGACACTGAGATACACCTGGGGACACCTGGGACTGGTGAGGGACACCTGGGGATGTGAGGGTGGAGGAGCTGAGCAAGGCCGAGCAGGAAATCGCGGCACTGGTGGAACAGGTGAGGGACACACCTGGGGACACCTGAGATACACCTGGGGACACCTGAGATACACCTAGGGACAGCTGGGGGACACCTGGGGACACCTGGGGACAGCTGGGACTGGTGAGGGACACCTGGGGCAGGTGAGGGTGGAGGAGCTGAGCAAGGCCGAGCAGGAAATCGCGGCACTGGTGGAACAGGTGAGGGACACACCTGGGGACACACCTGGGGACACACCTGGGGCAGGTGAGGGTGGAGGAGCTGAGCAAGGCTGAGCAGGAAATCGCGGCACTCGTGGAACAGGTGAGGGACACACCTGGGGCAGGTGGGACACACCTGGGGACACCTGGGGACACCTGGGACTGGTGAGGGACACCTGGGACAGGGGAGGGTGGAGGAGCTGAGCAAGGCCGAGCAGGAGATTGCGGCGCTGGTGGAACAGGTGAGGGACACACCTGGGGACACCTGGGACAGATAAAACACACCTGGGACAGGTTAGGACAGGTAAAACACACCTGGGGATGTGAGGGTGGAGGAGCTGAGCAAGGCCGAGCAGGAAATCGTGGCGCTGGTGGAACAGGTGAGGGACACGCCTGGGGACACACCTGGGGACACCTGGGACACACCTGGGGACACTTGGGCACAGCTGGGACACCTGGGGACACACCTGGGACGCCTGGGGCAGGTGAGGGTGGAGGAGCTGAGCAAGGCTGAGCAGGAGATCGCGGCACTGGTGGAACAGGTGAGGGACACACCTGGGGACACCTGGGGGACACCTGAGATACACCTAGGGACAGCTGGGACACACCAGGCACACACCTGGGCACAGCTGGGACAACTGGGGACACCTGAGACACACCTGGGGCGGGTAAAGCACACCTGGGATGGGTGAGACAGGTGAGGGACACCTAGGACAGGTAAAACACACCTGGGGACACCTGGGGACACCTGGGACTGGTGAGGGACACCTGGGACACCTGGGCCAGGTGAGGGTGGAGGAGCTGAGCAAGGCCGAGCAGGAGATCACGGCACTGGTGGAACAGGTGGGGGGCACACCTGGGGACACACCTGAGATACACCTGGGGACAGCTGGGACACCTGGGGACACCTGGGGATGTGTGGGATACAGGTGAGACACAGCTGGGGATGGGTGAGGGACACACCTGGGGCAGGTAGGGACAGGTAAAACACACCTGGGACAGGGGAGGGACACCTGGGACACCTGGGACAGTTTAAACACACCTGGGACACCTGAGGGACCCTTGGGACACCTGGGACAGGTGAGGGACACACCTGGGACACCTGAGGGACCCTTGGGACACCTGGGACAGGTTAAACACACCTGGGACAGGTAGGGACAGGTAAAACACACCTGGGACAGGTAGGGACACCTGAGGGACACACCTGGGACACCTGGGACACCTGGGGGACACCTGGGACAGGTGAGGGACACCTGGGACACCTGGGACAGGTGAGGGTCACACCTGGGACAGGTAAAACACACCTGGGACACCTGAGGGACACCTGGGACAGGTGAGGGGGGTCCCCAGGTGCTTTTGCCCCCTCCCCCAAATTTAGGGGCCCCATTTATTTTCCCCCATTAATTTTGGGGGGGATTTGGGGCTTTTTTGTTTTTTTTTTTTTTTTTTAATGATTTTTTTGGGGGGGAATTTGGGGCTTTTTGGGGCTTTTTTTGAACCGGGATTTTTTTTGGGGGGGGGTCCCCAGGTGCTGCTGCCCCCCTCCCCAAATTTAGGGGCCCCATTTTTTTCCCCCATTAATTTTGGGGGGGATTTGGGGCTTTTTTGATTTTTTTTTAAATGATTTTTTTGGGGGGGAATTTGGGGCTTTTTGGGGCTTTTTTTGAACCAGGATTTTTTTTTTTGGGGTGGTCCCCAGGTGCTTTTGCCCCCTCCCCAAATTTAGGGGTCCCATTTTTTTTCCCCCGTTAATTTTGGGGGATTTTGGGGCTTTTTTTAATTTAGGATTTTTTTTTTTAGGGGGGGTCCCTTTGATCCGGGATTTTTTTTGGGGGGGGTCTCCAGGCTCTCCTGACCCCTCCCCAAATTTTGGTGGGTCCCACTTTTCCCCCCTCCCCCGTTAATTTTTGGGGGGGAATTCGTTAATTTGGGGGGCATTTGGGGCTTTTTTTGAACCGGGATTTTTTCGGGGGGGTCCCTCCCATCCCGAATTTTTTTTTGGGGGGGTCCCCAGGGTCCTGCTGACCCCTCCCCATAATAATTTTTATTTTTTTTTCCAGCTGACCCCCATCGAGCGCTACGCCATGAACTTCCTGGAGGCCTCGCTCGAGGACGTCAGCAGGGAGGAGCTGAAGCAGGCCGAGGTTTTTGGGGGGGTCCCAAATGGGGTTTTGGGGGGGTCCCAAAAGGGTTTGGGGGTCCCAAAAATATCTGGGGGGGGTCTTAGAGGGGATTTGGGGGGCCCCAGAGGGATTTTGAAGGGGTTTTGAAGGGGTTTTTGGGATTTTTTGGGGTTTTTTGGGGGCTTCTTGGGGGCATTTGGGGCAGGTCCTGGGGGGCTTGAAGGGGGTCCCAGAGGGGTTTTGGGGGGGGGGTCCCAAAGGAGTTTGGGGGGGTCCTGGGGGGTCCCAAATGGGATTTTGGAGGTTCCAGAGAGGTTTGGGGGGGGTCCAAAAATATTTGGTGGGGGTCTTAGAGGGGTTTTTGGGGGGCCCCAGAGGGATTTTGAAGGGGTTTTTTGGGGGTTTTGGGGGTTTTTTTTGGGGGGGATTTTGGGATTTTTTGGGGTTTTTTGGGGGCATTTAGAGCAGGTCCTGGGGGGCTTGAAGGGGTCCCAGAGGGGTTTTGGGGGGGGTCCTGGGGGGTCCCAAATGGATTTTGGAGGTTCCAGAGAGGTTTGGGGGGGGTCCCAAAAATATTTGGGGGGGGTCTTAGAGGGGATTTGGGGGGCCCCAGAAGGATTTTGAAGGGGTTTTTTGGGGGTTTTGGGGGTTTTTTTTGGGGGGATTTTGGGATTTTTTGGGGTTTTTTGGGGGCTTCTTGGGGGCATTTGGGGCAGGTCCTGGGGGGCTTGAAGGGGTCCCAGAGGGGTTTTGGGGGGTCCCAAATGGGATTTTGGAGGTTCCAGAGAGGTTTGGGGGGGTCCTGGAGGGGTTTGGGGGGTCCCAGATGGGGTTTGGGGGGGTCCTGATGGGATTTTGGGGATTCTGGAGGGGTTTGGGGGGCATTTTGGGTGGTCCCAAAGGGGTTTGGGGGTTCTTGGGATGGTCCTGAGGGGGTTTGGGGGGTCCTGGGGGGGTTTTGGGGGTCCTAGATGTGTCTGGGGGGATTCCAGAAGGGATTTTTGGGGGTCCCAAAGGGGTTTGGGGGAGTCCCAGAAGGGTTTTGGGGGGGTCCCAAAGGGGTTTGGGGTTCTTGGGATGATCCTGAGGGGGTTTGGGGGGTCCCAAAGGGATTTTGGGGGGGGTCCCAAAGGGGTTTTGGGGGTTCTTGGGATGGTCCTGAAGGGGTTTGGGGGGTCCCAAAGAGATTTTGGGGGGTTCCAGTGGGGTTTTGGGGGGTCCTGGAGAGGTTTTGGGGGCTTCTTGGGGGCATTTTGGGGAGTCCTTGGGGGGGGAAACCTTGGGGTCTTAGGGGGATTTTGGGTTTTTTTTTGGGGGGGGTACTGGGGTGATTTTGGGGTGTCCCAATGGGGTTTGGGAGCTCCTGAGGGGTTTTGGGGGGTCTTGGAAGATTTTGGGGGGAGTTTTGTGGGGTCCTGGAGAATTTCTGGGGGCATTTTGGGGGGTCCCAGTTGAGTCTGGGGGTTCCCAAATTGAGTCTGGGGGTTCCCAAATTGGGTCTGGGGTGCCCAAATTGAGTCTGGGGTTCCCCAAATTGGGGTCTGGGGTTCCCAAATTCAGTCTGGGGTTCCCAAATTGGGTCTGGGGGTCCCCAAATTGGGTCTGGGGGGGGCCCAGTTGAGTCTGGGGTTCCCCAAATTGGGTCTGGGGGTTCCCAAATGGGGTCTGGGGGTTCCCCAAATGGGGTCTGGGGTTCCCCAAATTGACTCTGGGGGTTCCCCAAATTGGGTCTGGGGTTCCCAAATTGGGTCTGGGGGTCCCCAGATTGAGTCTGGGGGTGCCCAAATTGGGTCTGGGGGTGCTGAGTTGAGTCTGGGTTTCCCCAAATTGGGTCTGGGGTTCCCAAATTTGGTCTGGGGTCGCCAAATTGGGCCTGGGGGTCCCCAATTGGGTCTGGGGGGGCCCAGTTGAGTCTGGGGTTCACCAAATTGGGTCTGGGGGTCCCAAATTGGGTCTGGGGGTGCCCAAATTGACTCTGGGGTTCACCAAATTGGGTCTGGGGATCCCCAATTGAGTCTGGGGGTTCCCAAATTGAGTCTGGGGTCCCCAAACTGGGTCTGGGGTTCCCCAAATTGGGTCTGGGGGTTCCCAAATTGGGTCTGGGGTTCCCAAATTGGGTCTGGGGGTGCTGAGTTGAGTCTGGGTTTCCCCAAATTGGGGCGGGGGTCCCCAAATTGACTCTGGGGGTTCCCAAATTCAGTCTGGGGTTCCCAAATTGGGTCTGGGGGTTCCCAAATGGGGTCTGGGGTTCCCCAAATTGACTCTGGGTTTCCCCAAATTAGGTCTGGGGGTGCCCAAATTGGGTCTGGGGGTCCCCAAATTGGGTCTGGGGTTCCCCAAATTGACTCTGGGTTTCCCCAAATTGGGTCTGGGGGTGCCCAAATTGGGTCTGGGGGTCCCCAAATTGGGTCTGGGGTTCCCAAATTGACTCTGGGGTTCCCCAAATTGGGTCTGGGGTTCCCCAAATTGGGTCTGGGGTCTCAGCTTTGCCCCGCCCCCTCAGGAGCAGGTGGAGGCCGCCCGCAAGGACATCGACCAGGCCAAGGGGGGCGGGGGGCGCTTCCGGCTGCCCCCCGAGGAAGAGGAGGAGGAGGAGGAGGAGGAGGAAGAGCCCTCAGGGGGCGTGGCCAACGCCGGGGGCGGAGCTTTAACCCTGGAGGAGGCGGAGCTTAGCGCGGAGAAAGGGGCGGAGCAAAGGGCTGGAGGAGGAGGAGGGGGCGGGGCCCGGAAGTTGCGAAGGGCCCGGGGTTTGCCCCGCCCACCTCACCCCACGCGGGCCAGTCAGCGCTTGAGGGCGGTGACGTCACCCGTGACGTCACAGAGTTCGGAAACGCCCCCTGTGACGTCACAGCCCGGCCCCGTGACGTCATCGCCGCCGCCGGCTGCCGCCGTGGTGACGTCATCGCCGCCGCCCGCGTTGACGTCATCGCCGCCGCCTCCTCAAGCCACGCCCCCCGCCCTCCCCGCCGTCGCCTCCCCCGGTGACGTCATCGCCGCCGCCGCAAGCCACGCCCCCGCCCTCCCCTCCCCCTCCTCCTCCCGTGACGTCATCGCCGCCTCCCGTGACGTCATCGCCGCCTCCCCTGCCCGAATCCCCGCCCCCCTCCTGTGACGTCATCACCTCCTCCTCCTCCCAAATCCCCGCCCCCTCCGAGTTCACCAAAGGAGGCGGGGCTTGAAGAGGTCGGCCCCGCCCCGCCGCCCCCCGTGGCCCCGCCCCCTCGGCGCCGCCGCAGCGCCGACGTCGAGATCCGGCAGAGCCAAAAATCCGGCCCGGCCGCCAAAGTGCTCCGGACCCTCCCCGGCCGATTGGTCACCGTCCTCGAGGCCCCGCCCCCTTCCTCCGAAAGGGGCGGAGGCTCCCGAGGCGCCCGGCGCCGCCCCCGGGCCGCCCCCCAGGCCACGCCCCCTTCCTCATTAGCATCGGCCCCGCCCACCAAGCGCCGCCGGGGCCGCCCACCCAAGCGGAGGCTGCTGGGAGGGGGCGGGGCCAGGGCGAGGCGGCGGCGCCAAGCCGGGACTGCCCCACAACGCTCCGCCCACTCGCAAGAAAGGGGGCGTGGCCGGCGGCGTGGGCGTCCAATCAGGGGCCCAGGGGGCGGGGCCGAGGAAGAGTCCCCGCCCCGGAAGCGACGTCGGGGGCGGCCGCCCAAGATGGCGTCGCCCGAGCATGGTGGGGGTGAGGAAGGGGAGGGGTCAACGAGTCCCCGCCCACCATCGCCGGCCCCGCCCAGATCCACCCGGGCACGCCCCGGAGCGCCCTTGGCTCCGCCCCTTCAGAGGGAGCCACGGAGGAGGCCACGCCCACCCGACGACAGCAGCGAGGAGGGCGTGGCTTCATCGGGAGGGGGCGTGGCCAGGCGTAGGGAGCCCCTCCCACAACCCCCGGTTAAAAGGAGGAGAGGGGGTGGGGCTAACGCTGGCCCCGCCCCCACAAGGAGAAGGCGGCGTGGGCGGGGCTCCCCCTTGGCCCCGCCCCGCCGGATGCAGCCCCCCCGGCGCTGCGCTGGCCCCGCCCAGGCTGGGGGAGGGGCGGCGCCACAGGACCCCCCTGCCGGGGTGGGGGCGGGGCTGAGGGGGAGGAAGGGCAAGACGTGATGGGCGGGGCAAGATGGCGGCAATGGGGAAGATGGCCGACAGTGGGGCAGGGGCACAAAATGGCCGACAATTTTGGGATACAAAATGGCCGACTTTGGAAAACGCAAAATGGCTGACAATTGTTGGAGAAGGACAAAATGTCCGACCATGGCGATAGGGGCACAAAATGGCCGATGGTTGTGGGATACAAAATGGCCGACATTTGTGGGAGGAGCACAAATTGGCCGATGATTGTTGGTGGGGCACAAAATGGCCGACCATGGTGGGACACAAACCAGCCGACAATTGTGAGGCACAAAATGGCCGACGATTGTTTGAAAGGGACAAAATGGCCGACAATTTTGGGAGGGGCACAAAATGGCCGACAGTTGTGGAAGAGGGACAAAATGGCTGCCAGGGTAAATGTGGAACGGTTGATGGGGCACAAAATGGCCGACAGCGGCCTGGATGTGGTCACGTGATCTGTGGGTAATTCCAATATGGCCGACAGGGTAAACTTTGATCCACTTCAGTACAGTTGGGTGGGTGACCTCTGATTGACCCCAATATGGCCGACAAGGTGACCTTTACATGACCCCAAAATGGCTGCCACTCTGGCTTTTAAATGACCCCAATATGGCTGCCACTGCGACCTTTGATTGACCCCAATATGGCCACCATGAAATGGGGCGGGGTCACAAAATGGCCGCCAGGACAGTTTCAAGATGGCAGCCAGGAATAACCTTTAAATGACCTCAAGATGGCCGCCGCAGTAAATCCAAGATGGCCGACTTCGCAATGACATCATGAGCGGCGGCCATCTTGAAAGCAGCGACGTCATCAGCGGCCATTTTGTGACTCTGTGGTGGCCGTCTTGGCTCCACCCAGCCGCCATCTTGAACCTGGCGGCCATCTTGACCTCAAACAAACCTGGCGGCCATTTTGGTTCTTGGCAACCTCTGGGAGTCACGGCGGCCATTTTGTTTCCTGGCGGCCATCTTGAATTTATCATGTGACCTGGCAGCCATCTTGGCCCCAAGAAGATGCAAAAACTTGGCGGCCATTTTGCTTCCTGGCAGCCATCTTGACTACGAGCAGACACTGAAGCCTGGCGGCCATCTTGATTTCCGGCAGCCATCTTTTCCAGGAACTGACAGTGAAACCCGGCGGCCATCTTGCCTCCCACAAACTCCCGTGACTCTCGGCAGCCATCTTGATTCCTGGTGGCCATTTTGATATGAGCTTACCACAAAACCTGGCGGCCATCTTGGTTATTCCAACTCCTGTGAACTCCAGCAACCATTTTGATTCCCGGCAGCCATCTTGACTATGAGAAGACCACAACACCTGGCGGCGGCCATCTTGATTCCCGGCAGCCATCTTGACTACGCGCAGCCCACAAAAATCGCCGGCCATCTTGACTCCCAACTCCCATCACTCCCGGCAGGCATCTTGATTCCTGGTGGCCATCTTGACTGCAAGCAAGCCACAAAAGCCAGCGGCCATCTTGGTTCTTGGCGGCCATCTTGACTACATGCAGACCACAGCACCTGGCAGCCATCTTGATTCCCGGCGGCCATCTTGACGACAAGCAGAGCACAAATCCGGCGGCCATCTTGATTCCCAGCAGCCATCTTGATTCTTACCAACTCCCATGGTTCCTGGCAGCCATCTTGATTCCCAGCGGCCATCTTGACTACGAGCAGACCACAAATCCCGGCGGCCACCTTGCCTCCCGGCGGCCATCTTGTCCAGGAGCTGACAGTGAAACCCAGCGGCCATCTTGGTTTCTTCCAACTCCCGTGACTTCCAGCAACCATCTTGATTTTCGGCGGCCATCTTGACACCCACCAACTCCCGTCACTCCTAGCAGCCATCTTGATTCCCGGCGGCCATCTTGACTACGAGAAGACTACAACACCTGGCGGTGTCTTGATTCCTGGCGGCCATCTTGACTACGAGCAGACTACAACACCTGGCGGCCATCTTGACTCCCGGCGGCCATCTTGACTACGAGCAGACCACAAATCCCGGTGGCCATCTTGCCTCCCGGCGGCCATCTTGTTTCAGGACCGTGCCCAGCAGAGTCGGGGGGGGAGGGAGGCGGGGTCCGGGGGGGTGGGGGAGGGGCGTTTTCCCCCCTCCCCCCTTCGTTGTAAAATTGGTTCCTTTTGAACCCCATCTATGCAAATGTGCTTTGTGCTGGGCTGGGGGGGCGGGGCCAAGTTTTTGGGATGGGGGAGGGGTCCCGGGGGGGGATTTTCCCACCCCTCCCCCACCCTGTCCAGGCGGCGCTCGAGGCTTTTCCTGTGATGAATAAAAAAAGGGTTAAAAAATCCCAATTTTGGGGACCCCCCCCCGGGAAAAAGATTTTGGGGTGGGGGAGGGCGTGGGGGAGGGGATTTCGGGTTTCCTTTATTAGGGGAAGGGGATTTTTGGGGATGTTTTGGGATTTTTTGGGGTCCCCAGGGGGGAATTTTGGGGCATTTGGGGAATTTTGGGGTTCCCTGAAAGATTTTGGGGGGGTCCCCAGGGGTTTGCAGAGAGGTTTTGGGGGTGAAGGGAATTTTTGGTCGTCCCAGAAAGATTTTTGGGATCCCCAGGGGATAACGGAGAGATTTTTGGTCTCTTTTAGAATATGGGAGATTTTTGGGGTTCCCAGAGAGATTTTGGAGTTCTTTTAGAATTGGGGGGAATTTTGGGGGTTTTTGGGGTTCCCAAAGAGGTTTTTGGGGTTCTTTTAAATTTGGGGGGAATTTGGGGGTTTTTTTGGGGTCTCCAGAGAATCCCAGAGAGGTTTTGGGGTTCTTTTAAATGTGGGTGGAATTTTGGGGTTTTTTTGGGATTTTTGGGGTTTCCAGAGAGATTATGGGGGGTCCTCAAGGGAATCCCAGAGAGATTTTGGGGTTCTTTTAGGGTTGGGAGGAATTTTGGGTTTTTTTGGGGCTCCCAGAGAGATTTTGGTGTTCTTTTAGGATTGGGGGGAATTTTGGGGGTTTTTGGGGTTCCCAAAGAGATTTTGGGGGGGTCCCCAAGGGAATCCCGGAGAGGTTTTGGGGTTCTTTTAAATGTGGGGGGAATTTGGGGGTCTTTGGGGGCTATCTCCCATTCAGACGCGTTGTGATCTCGCGAGATTCCCCTTTCTTTCCCCCCCCCTCGCTCTCCTGCCATGCCAGATCTCGCGAGATCTCCCATTGAGTCGAACTGCGATCTCGCGAGATCTCTCTCCTTTCAGGCTCTCCGCTCACGCGAAGTCTCGCGAGAGCTCCCATTCACACACTGGTTTGGGGTCCCTGGTTTGGGGCTAGGGGGTGTGAGGGGTTGGGGGGCCCCAGTTTGGGGTTCCTGATTTGGGGTCAGGGGCTGTGAGGGGTTTGGGGTCCCTGATTGGGGGGTCTCTGGTTTGGGGTCAGGGGCCCCAGGTTTGGGGTTCTTGGTTTGGGGTCCCTGATTTGGGGTCAGGGGGTGTGAGGGGTTTGGGGTCCCTGGTTTGGGGTTTGGGGTCTCAGGTTTAGGGTCAGAGGTTGGGGGTCTCTGGTTTGGGGTCCCTGATTTTTGGTCAGGGGCTGTGAGGGGTTTGGGGGCCCGGGTTTGGGGTTTGAGGTCTCTGGTTTGGGGTTTGGGATCCCTCGTTTGGGGTCAGGGACTGTGAGGGGTTTGGGGTGCCTGGTTTGGGGTTTGGGATCTCAGGTTTAGGGGCCCTGGTTTGGGGTCTTTGGTTGGGGGTGCCAGGTTTGGGGTCAGGGGCTGTGAGGGGTTTGGGGGCCCGGGTTTGGGGTTCCTGATTTGGGGTTTGGGGTCCCTGGTTTGGGGTCAGGGCTGTGAGGGGTTTGGGGTCGCTGGTTTGGGGTTTGGGTTCAGGGCTTTGGGGGCCATGGTTTGGCGTCCCTGGTTTGGGGTCAGGGGCTCCACCCTTTCTCACCCTCTCCGCTCCCCGCCCTCCCCACACGCGAACTCTCGCGAGATTGTGACGCTTTCCTACGGGCGCCATGGCTGTGTTTTAGCCCCCGCCTTCCTCCCTCCCTCTCACTTCCTTCAGGCCTTCCTCCGCCCCCCTCACCGCCCTCCCGCCACACGACATCTCGCGAGATCGTACCGCTTCTCGGCCGGCTCTCTCGCGAGATTTGAACGCCCCCACAACCTGAGGCTTTTCTCTCAATCCCGCCTCCTTCCCGCGCTGTATGGAACTCTCGCGAGGTTGCCGTCCGCATCAATGGGGGTTCTCGCGAGATTTCCCCTCCGCCTTTTTCTCCTCCCCACTCCTTCCCGCCGCTCCAAACCTCGCGAGACCGCATGGCATCCCTGTGCAAGCTCTCGCGAGATTTCAAACCCTCCCCCCCGTGCCCTCCCGAGTCTCGCGAGATCCTCGAAACTCTCGCGAGATTTTGCTACTCTCCCACCGTCCCTTTCCCAGATCTCGCGAGATTTAAAGTGACGGGAGAGGGCCAGGTGTGGGCCGCCGTTGACCACGCCCATTTATGGGCGTGGCTTCAGCAGAGAAGGCGTGCGCAAGCCGTGACGTCATCCTCTTGTTCCCACTTCCGCTCTGCACCAACGCTTCCGGTGTGGAGGCCGCCATCTTGAACCCACGGCCACGCGGGCCCTTTGCGCGCCGCCATCTTGGCCGGAGGGCGCCGCCATCTTGGCTGTGCCGCGGAGGATGACGGGATTCGCCCCCCACCCATCCCCCGCTTCCCAAAACTCCCGAGAAACTTTTTTTGGGATTTTTGAACTTTTTTTTATCCAAACCGAGCCAAAACGGAGCAGAAACACAAAAAAATTCCCATTTTGGCCCCAAAACGCACGCGGGGGGGGAGGGGGTCCCAAAGGTCACCTGGGCGCACACCTGGGCTCACCTGGGCACACCTGGGGTTGTCCCGAAGGTCATGGGGGGTCCCTGGGCCTCCCCCATGCCCCAGGTGGCTCCAGGTGAGCTCAGGTGTGCCCAGGTGATCCCTGGAGCTCCCAGGTGTCCCCGGTTTTGTCTTTAAGAGCACCCAGGTGTGCCCAGGTGGCACCAGGTGCCCCCAGGTATATTTGGGGTACCCTCAGGTGTGTCCCAGGTACCCCCATGCTGACCTCAGGAGCTCACAGATGTTCCCCAGGTACCCCCAGGTCCATCCCACCTGTGCCCAGGTGTGCCCAGGAGCTGCCAGGTGTATCCCAGGTACCCCCAGGTGTATCCCAGGTGTATCCCAGGTGTGTCCCAGGTACCCCCAGGTGTATCCCAGGTGTATCCCAGGTACCCCCAGACACCCCCAGGTGTCCCAGGTGTGTCCAGGTCTATCCCAGGTGTGCCCACCTGTACCCCAGCCATGCCCAAGTGCACTCCCAGGTACCCCCAGGTGTGCCCAGGAGCTGCCAGGTGTATCCCAGGAGCTGCCAGGTGTATCCCAGGTGCCCCCAGGTGTATCCCAGGTTCCCCCAGGTGTACCCTGGCCATGCCCAGGTGTAGCCCCAGCCCTATCCCAGGTGTGCCCAGGTACCCCCAGGTACACCCGGGTGTCTTACAGCTACCCCCAGGAACCCACAGGTGCCCCCAGGTGTGACCCCAAATGTATCCCAGGTGTGCCCTGGCCATACCCAGGCCTGTCCCCAGGTGTGTCCCCAGGTGTGCCCTGGCCATACCCAGGTGCTCCCAGGTACCCCCAGGTGTGACCCCAGGTGTGCCCAGGTGTGCCCTGGCCATACCCTGGTGTCCCTAGGTGTGTCCCCAGGTGCATCCCCAGGTGCCCCCAGGTGTCCCTAAGGTGTCCCAGGTGCCCCAGGTGCATCCCCAGGTGCCCCCAGGTGTGTCCCCAGGTGCCCCCAGGTGTGCCCTGGCCATACCCAGGAGCCCCCAGGTGTCCCCGGGTGCCCCCAGGTGTGTCCCCAGGTGCGCCCAGGTGTCCCCAGGTGCGCCCAGGTGTCCCCAGGTGTGCCCAGGTGCATCCCCAGGTGCCCCCAGGTGTGACCCCAGGAGCCCCCAGGTGCGCCCAGGTGTCCCCAGGTGTGTGCCCAGGTGTGACCCCAGGTGTATCCCAGGTGTATCCCAGGTGTCCCCAGGTGCACCCAGGTGCCCCAGGTGTCCCCAGGTGTGCCCAGGTGCCCCCAGGTGTCTCCCAGGTGTCCCCAGGTGTCCCCAGGTCTGTCCCAGGTGTGTCCCCAGGAGCCCCCAGGTGCTCCCAGGTGTCCCCAGGTGTGACCCCAGGAGCCCCCAGGTGCGCCCAGGTGTGACCCCAGGTGTATCCCAGGTGTGCCCAGGCCATGCCCAGGTGCACCCAGGTGCATCCCCAGGTGTGCCCAGGTGTCCCCTGGAGCCCCCAGGTGTATCCCAGGTGTCCCCAGGTGTCCCCAGGCCATACCCAGGTGTCCCCAGGTGTGCCCAGGTGTCCCTAGGTGCCCCCAGGCCATGCCCAGGTGTCCCCAGGTGTGCCCAGGTGTGTCCCAGATGCCCCCAGATGTCCCAGGTGCATCCCCAGGAGCCCCCAGGTGTCCCTGGCCATACCCAGGTATACCCAGGTGCCCCAGGTGCTCACAGGTGTCCCCAGGTGTGCCCAGGTGTGTGCCCAGGTGTGCCCAGGTGTGTGCCCAGGTGTGCCCAGGTGTCCCCAGGTGCCCCCAGGCCATGCCCAGGTGTGCCCAGGTGTGACCCCAGGTGTGTCACAGGAAATAATCCGCCACGGGTTTCTTGGCGGGGATCCCGCGCGTCTCCTGCGGCGCCGCCTCGAAGATGATGAACTCCTTCTGCAGGTGCTCGTCCAGCTCCAAGATGGCCGCCACGTTACCGCACCTGCCCGGGCATTTGCATCTCATTTGCATGGTGTTCGTACCTCATTTGCATCTCATTAGTTCCATTTTAGCCAGTTCCCACCTGCCCAGCCCCACCTGGGAACCCCAAACCCAGCCCAGCCCCACCTGAGTGCCCCAAGCTCCGCCCCTTTTGTTTCTCACCCCTCATTTGCATCTCATTTGCATGGTGTTCGTGCCTCATTTGCATCTTGTTAGTTGGGATTTAGCGAGAACCCACCTGACTGCCCACAGCTCCACCAATTTGTGTCATCCATCATTTGCATATAATTTGCATGTAATTTGTATCTCATTAGCATCTCGTTTGCATCTCATTAGTCACGTTCAGTGGGGTTTAGCCAAGTTCCCAGCTCACCTGGAAACCCCAAACCCACCTGACTGCTCTGAGCTCCGCCACCTTTGTTTCTCAGCCCTCATTTGCATCTCATTAGTCAGTTTCAGTGGGGTTTTATAGAGCTCCCACCTGCCCAGCCCCAAGCTCCGCCCCCTTTGTGTCTCACCCCTCATTTACATCTCATTTGCATCTCATTTACTTGGTGTGGGTACCTAATTTGCATCTATTGGTTTTTTTTAGCGATTTATCACGTGCCCAGCCCCACCTGACTGCCCCAAGCTCCGCCCCCTTTTATTCTCACCCCTCATTTGCATCTCATTTGCATCTCATTAGCTGCTTCCAGCAGGGTTTTCTACCACATTCTCACCTGTCTCACTCACCTGGAGCCACACATGCAGCCCAGGCCACCCCCAGCCCGACCCCTCCCACACACAGCCCTCATTTGCATCTCATTTGCGTAGAATGTCATCTCATTTGCATAGAGTCTCGTCTCATTTGCATACTCAGGGATGGATTCCTGCTCACCTGAACCACATGTAGAGCCCAAACCCACCTGAGCCTCATTAAACCGAGTGTAATTGGCATATGAATAGCACCTCATTAGCATCTCATTAGCATACCAATAGCAGGAATTGGGCCCCATTTCCACCTTCCCACTCATGTCCGGACCCCCTCACCTGGAGCCCATCACTGCCTGTGCGGGTGTGACCAAACCCCACCTGTCCCTCATACAACAGCCACATAACAACCGCATATTTCCCCCCTCATTAGCATCTCATTAGCATACCGGTAGCAGTAATTGGGCGCGGACCAGACGGTGAGCACGGTCTCCCCGAAGTGCCACTTGTAGCCCTCCATGACGAGCTGGGGTCCGCACAACCCCACCTGTCCCTCATTGATTACCAGATATAACTCCCCCCTCATTAGCATCTAATTAGCATACCAATAGCAGTAATTCTGCACTATTTCCACCTTTCTACCTCTGTCCAGAGCCCCTCACCTGGAGCCCATCACTGCCTATACAGGTGTGACCAAACCCCACCTGTCCCTCATTGATTCCCCAATATAATTCCCCCCTCATTAGCATCTCATTAGCATACCAATAGCAGGAATTGGGCCCCATTTCCACCTTTCTACCTCTGTCCGGACCCCGCCACCTGGAGCCCATCACTGCCTGTGCAGGTGTGACCAAACCCCACCTGTACCTCATACAACAGCCACATAACAACCGCATAATAAACACCTCATTAGCATCTCATTAGCATACCAATAGCAGTAATTCTGCACCATTTCCACCTTTCTACCTCTGTCTGGACCCCCTCACCTGGAGCCCATCACTGACTGTGCAGGTGTGACCAAACCCCACCTGTACCTTACAGAACCACCGCATAATAAACAGCTAATTAGCATCTCATTAGCATACAAATCACAGTAATTCTGCACCATTTCCACCTATCTACCTCTGTCCAGAGCCCCTCACCTGGAGCCCATCACTGCCTGTGCAGCTGTGACCAAACCCCACCTGTCCCTCATTGATTCCCCAATTAACGACCGCATATTTCCCCCCTCATTAGCATCTCATTAGCATACCGGTAGCAGTAATTGGGCGCGGACCAGACGGTGAGCACGGTCTCCCCAAAGTGCCACTTGTAGCCCTCCATGACGAGCTGGTGGGCGCGGCAGATCATGGAGACCTCGTTGGCCGCGTTGAACTGCGCCACCACGTCCGAGCCGAACAGGTAACCCGCGCCCCGCGGCGACACGCCCCAGCCGGTGGTGTCTGACACGCCAAGGACACGCCAAGGACACGTGAGGGACATGGGGGGGACGGGGGGGAGGAGAAAGACAAAAAAACCCCCGAAAAAATCGGGTTTTTTAGCCCAAAATTGGAAGAAATTTGGGTTATTTTGGTCAAAAATATCAAAGGTTTTACCTGAGGACAGGTGAGGGACAGGTGACAGGGGACACATGAGGGACAGGTGACATAAAAAAAACCCCAAAAGTAACCAAAAAACCCCAAAAAAATCACAAAAAATTTGGGGTTTTTAGGCCAAAATTGGAAGGAATTTGGGTTATTTTTCCCCAAAATATCAAAAGGTTTTACCTGAGGACAGGTGAGGGACAATGGGGACAGGGGAGATTCAAAATACCACAAAAAATGCAAAAAAAAAACCCCAAAAAATGCAAAAAAAACTCCCCAAAAATTGAAAAAAAACCACCAAAAATGGGGAAAAAATTGGGGATTTTAGGCCAAAATTTGACGGAATTTGGGTTATTTTGCTCAAAAACATCGAATTTTTTACCTGAGGACAGGTGAGGGACAGGGGACAGGTGAGGGACATGGGAGATGAGAAAGCCAAAAAAAACCCCGAAAAAATCCCCAAAAATTTGGGGTTTTTAGGTCAAAATTGGAAGGAATTTGGGTCATTTTGGTCAAAATATCGAATTTTTTACCTGAGGACAGGTGAGGGATAGGGGACATGGGAGAGAAAATGTCAGGAACAGGGGAGATTCAAAAATACCCAAAAAAACCCCAAAAACCCCCCAAAAAAATGAAAAAAAAACCCCAAAAAATTGCAAAAAATTTGGCGTTTTTAAGCGCAAAATTGGAAGAAATTTGGGTTATTTTGCTCAAAAATATCAAAAGGTTTTACCTGAGGACAGGTGAGGGACAGGGACAGGTGAGGGACAATGGGGACAGGGGAGGCACAAGGTCAAGGACACCAAGAACACGTGAGGGACACGGGAGATTAAAAAAACCCCAAAAAAACCCCAAAAAAATCCCAAAAAATTTGGGGTTTTTAGCCCAAAATTGGAAGGAATTTGGGTTATTCCCATTAGAAATTCCTTTAAGGTTTTACCTGAGGGACAGAGGACAGGGGACAGGGGAGGGACAAGGGACATAAAAAATACCCCAAAAAATGCAAAAAAACCCCAAAAAAATGCAAAAAAAACCCCAAAAAAGTCGCGAAAAATTTGGGGTTTTTAGGCCAAAATTGGAAGGAATTTGGGTTATTCCCATTGGAAATTCCTTTAAGGTTTTACCTGAGGACAGGTGAGGGACAGGGGACAGGGGAGGGACAGGGGACAGGTGAGGGACAATGTCAGGGACAGGTGAGAGAAGAAAAACCCCAAAAAAATGCAAAAAAACCCCAAAAAATCGCAAAAAATTTGGGGTTTTTAGGCCAAAATTGGAAGGAATTTGGGTTATTTTGGTCAAAAATATCAAAGGTTTTACCTGAGGACAGGTGAGGGACAGGGGAGAGGTGAGGGACATGGGAGAGAAGAATTACCCCAAAAAACCCCCCAAAAACCCCCCAAAAAATCACAAAAAAACCCCAAAAAAATCGCAAAAAATTTGGGGTTTTTAGGCCAAAATTGGAAGGAATTTGGGTTATTCCCATTGGAAATTCCTTTAAGGTTTTACCTGAGGACAGGTGAGGGACAATGGGGACAGGGGAGGGACAATGTCAGGGACAGGTGAGGTTCAAAAATACCCAAAAAAAAACCCAAAAAACCAAAAAAAAAATGCAAAAAAAACCCCAAAAATCAGAAAAAATTTGGGGTTTTTAGGTCAAAATTGGAAGGAATTTGGGTGATTCCCATTGGAAATTCCTTTAAGGGTTTACCTGAGGGACAGGGGACAGGTGAGGGACAATGGCAGGGACAGGTGAGATTCAAAATACCCCAAAAAAAAGGCAAAAAAACCCCAAAAAATTGCAAAAAATTTGGGGTTTTTAGGCCAAAATTGGAAGAAATTTGGGTTATTCTGCTCAAAAACATGGAATTTTTTACCTGAGGACAGGTGAGCGACAATGGGGACAGGTGAGATTCAAAATACCACAAAAAATGCAAAAAAAAAACCCCAAAAAATGCAAAAAAAAAACCCCCCAAAAATTGGAAAAAAAAAACCCCAAAAAATGGGAAAAAAATTGGGGATTTTAGGCCAAAATTTGACGGAATTTGGGTTATTTTGCTCAAAAACATCGAATTTTTTACCTGAGGACAGGTGAGGGACAGGTGACAAAAAATACCCAAAAAAAGGCAAAAAATACCCAAAAAATCGCAAAAAATTTGGGGTTTTTAGGTCAGAAATGAAGGAATTTGGGTTATTTGGGTCAAAAATATCAAAGGTTTTACCTGAGGACAGGTGAGGGACAGGGGACAGGTGAGGGACATGGGAGAGAAGAATTACCCCAAAAAACCCCCCAAAAAACCCCCAAAAAATACCCCAAAAAATCACAAAAAACCCCAAAAAAGTCGCGAAAAATTTGGGGTTTTTAGGCCAAAATTGGAAGGAATTTGGGTTATTCCCATTGGAAATTCCTTTAAGGTTTTACCTGAGGACAGGTGAGGGACAGGGGACAGGTGAGGGACAATGGGGACAGGTGAGGGACAGGTGAGGGACACGTGAGAGAAGAAAAACCCCAAAAAAACCCAAAAAAATCGCAAAAAATTTGGGGTTTTTAGGCCAAAATTGGAAGAAATTTGGGTTATTTGGGTCAAAATATCGAATTTTTTACCTGAGGACAGGTGAGGGACAAAGGGACAGGTGAGGGACAAATGTCAGGGACACGTCAGGGACACGGGAGGGACACGGGAGAGGAGAAACACAAAAAAAAACCCCGAAAAAATCCCAAAAAATTTGGGGTTTTTAGGCCAAAATTGGAAGAAATTTGGGTTATTTTGGTCAAAAATATCAAAGGTTTTACCTGAGGACAGGTGAGGGACAATGGGGACAGGGGAGGGGACAATGGCAGGGACACATGAGGGACAGGTGACATAAAAAAAACCCCAAAAGTAACCAAAAAACCCCCAAAAAAATGCAAAAAAAACCCAAAAAATAGCAAGAAATTTGGGGGTTTTAGGCCAAAATTGGAAGGAATTTGGGTTTTTCCCATTGGAAATTCCTTTAAGGTTTTACCTGAGGACAGGTGAGGGACAAGGGGAGGGACAATGGCAGGGACAGGTGAGGTTAAAAAATACCCAAAAAAAACCCCAAAAAACCCCAAAAAATGCAAAAAACCCTGAAAAAATCGCGAAAAATTTGGGGTTTTTAGGCCAAAATTGGAAGAAATTTGAGTTATTTTTCCCCAAAATATCGAATTTTTTACCTGAGGACAGGCGAGGGACAGGTGACAAAAAATACCCAAAAAATGCAAAAAAACCCCAAAAAAATGTAAAAAAAAACCCCAAAAAAATGCAAAAAAACCCCAAAAAATCCCCCAAAAATTGGGGTTTTTAGGCCAAAATTGGAAGGAATTTGGTTATTTTGGTCAAAAATATCAAAGGTTTTACCTGAGGACAGGTGAGGGACAGGTGGCAAAAAATACCCAAAAAAATGCAAAAAAAACCCAAAAAACCCCAAAAAAAACCCCAAAAAATTGCACAAAATTTGGGGTTTTTAGCCCAAAATTGGAAGAAATTTGGGTAATTTTGGTCAAAAATATCAAAGGTTTTACCTGAGGACAGGTGAGGGGACAGGTGACAAAAAATATCCAAAAAAACCCCAAAAAACCCCCAAAAAAATGCAAAAAAATCCCAAAAAATTGCAAAAAATTTGGGGTTTTTAGGCCAAAATTTGGAAGAATTTTGGGTTATTTTTGTCAAAAATATGGAATTTTTTACCTGAGGACAGGTGAGGGACAGGTGACAAAAAATACCCAAAAAAATGCAAAAAAACCCCCAAAAAATGCAAAAAAAATTCCAAAAAAATGGCAAAAAACCCCAAGATTTTCTCCCAAAATTCACGAAATTGGCCCCAAAAATTCGCTTTAAAATTCACTGAATTGGTCACAGTGAGGGACACCAAAAATCCCAAAAAAATCCTAAAAAAATCCCCAAAATTTGGAAGATTTTACCCTAAAATTCATTAAATTGACCCCAAAAATCAGGGATAAATTGAGGGAATTTTTAAGTGAATTTTGCTGATTTTTGGGGTCAATTTAATGAATTTTGGGGTAAAATTTTCACAATTTTGGGGATTTTTTTAGGATTTTTTTGGGCTTTTTGGTGTCCCTCATTGTGAATAATTCAGTGAATTTTTAAGTGAATTTCGCTGATTTTTGGGGCCAATTCAGTGAATTTTGATGTAAAATATTCGGGGGGGGATTTTGGGGTAAAATCTTCACAATTTTGGGGATTTTTTTAGGATTTTTTGGGGTTTTTGGTGTCCCTCACTGGGACCAATTCAGTGAATTTTGGGGTAAAATCTTCAGGATTTTAGGAGTTTTTTAGGATTTTTTTGGGATTTTGGCTGTCCCTCACTGGGATCAATTCAGTGAATTTTTGGGTGGATTTCTGGATTTTTGGGGTAAAATCTTCAGAATTTTGGGGATTTTTTTAGGATTTTTTGGGGGTTTTTGGTGTCCCTCACTGTGACCAATTCAGTGAATTTTGGGGTAAAATATTTGGGATTTTGGGGTAAAATCTTCCAAATTTTGGGGATTTTTTTAGGATTTTTTTAGGGATTTTTGGTGTCCCTCACTGTGACCAATTCAGTGAATTTTGGGGTAAATCTTTGGGATTTTTGGGAATTTTTTTTAGGATTTTTTTGGGGTTTTTGGTGTCCCTCACTGGGACCAATTCAGTGAATTTTTAAGTGAATTTTGCTGATTTTTGGGGTCATTTTAATGAATTTTGGGGTAAAATCTTCAGGATTTTGGGGATTTTTTGGGGGTTTTTCCTGTCCCTCATTGTGAATAATTCAGGGAATTTTTGAGTGAATTTCGCTGATTTTTGGGGCCAATTCAGTGAATTTTGGGGTAAAATCTTTGGGATTTTGGGGTAAAATCTTTGGGATTTTTGGGGTAAAATCTTTGGGATTTTGGGGATTTTTTTTAGGATTTTTTGGTGTCCCTCACTGTGAACAATTTCAGCATTTTTTGAGCTGTTTCAGAAAACTTTTGTGGCCAATTTAATGAATTTTGGTGCAAAATCTTTGGGATTTTGGGGTAAAATCTTCCAAATTTTGAGGATTTTTTTAGGATTTTTTTTAGGATTTTTTTTCGTTTTTTGTGTCCCTCACTGTGATTAATTCAGTGAATTTTTGAAGTGAATTTCGCTGATTTTTGGGGTCAATTCAGTGAATTTTGGGCTAAAATCTTTGGGATTTTGGGGTAAAATCTTTGGGATTTTGGGGATTTTTTTAGGATTTTTTTAGGGATTTTTGGTGTCCCTCACTGGGATCAATTCAGTGAATTTTTGGGTGAATTTTGCTGTTTTTTTGGGGCCAATTTAATGAGTTTTGGGGTAAAATCTTCAGGATTTTGGGGATTTTTTCAGGGTTTTTGGTGTCCCTCACTGTGAATTATTCAGTGAATTTTTGGGTGAATTTCGGTGATTTTTGGGGTCAATTCAGTGAATTTTGGAGTAAAATCTTCGGATTTTGGGGTAAAATCTTTGGGATTTTGGGGTAAAATCTTTGGGATTTTGGGGATTTTTTTAGGATTTTTTGGGATTTTTGCTGTCCCTCACTGGAATCCATTCAGTGAATTTTTGGGTGGATTTCTGAGATTTTTGGGGTAAAATCTTCCAAATTTTGGGGATTTTTTTTAGGATTTTTTGGGGGTTTCTGGTGTCCCTCACTGTGACCAATTCAGGGAATTTTTAAGTGAATTTTGCTGATTTTTGGGGCCAATTTAATGAATTTTGGGGTAAAATCTTCAGGATTTTGGGGATTTTTGGGGTTTTTGGTGTCCCTCACTGTGAATAATTCAAGGATTTTTTGAGTAGATTCAGGAAACTTTTGGGGTCAATTCAGTGAATTTTGGGGTAAAATCTTTGGGATTTTTTGGGGTTTTTGGTGTCCCTCACCTGTCCCTCACTGGGATCAATTCAGTGAATTTTGGGGTAAAATATTTGGGATTTTTGGGGTAAAATCTTTGGGATTTTTGGGGTAAAATCTTCACAATTTTGGGAATTTTTTTAGAATTTTTTTGGGGTTTTTTGATGTCCCTCCCCATGACCAAATCCTTAAATTTTTAACCGAATTTTCCTCATTTTCGACACCAATTTCCCGCATTTTACCCTAAAACCTCGGGGTTTTTTTTCCATTCCCTCGGGGTTTTTTGCCCCTCCCCGTTCCCCCAGGTGTCCCCAGGTGTCCCCAGGTGTCCCCAGGTGTCCCCAGGTGTCCCCCAGGTACCTTCAGGGTCCGACCAGAGCAGGTCACACATGGGGCCGTCGTGTGGCACCTCCTGCTTGCGGTCGATGGTGCGGATCTGGTCCAGGGTCTGGATGGACGGCGAGAGGCCCCCGTGGACGCAGAAAATCTGAAAATTTGGGGCATTTTGGGTCAGTTTGGGGCGTTTTGGGACATTTGGGACATTTAAAATATTTGGGATATTTGGGACATTTAAAATATTTGGGGTATTTGGGGTGT